ACGTTAACATTTTTTTATGATTATTGGCAAGTAGCGTTAGACGTGTGTTCATTTATTGTCGCGGTGGTAACGACACGCTGTAGATAGATATTGTCGGATTCTCCACCCTGGCCGATATACAAACAAAATTTCACGAAAATCGGTCGTGCCGTTGCCGAGAAGTTCAATTACAAACACCATGACACGAGAATTTTATATATTAGACGAGAAATTTATATATTAGATAATAAAATATTTTAAATAAGTTTTTTTTTGAGCTCTTAGACTGCAGTTAACAAAATTTGTCGTAGCCTAGTCTAGTCTGTCGTAGTCTTCTCTAGTTTCACGTCGATTCTCCATTTACGAAACCTCACCGAGGCGATCAACGACGCTTTGGAAGAGATAGTGTTGGCCGCGTCAAGCGCAAATTTGACAGTCCTAAACCGTCCTAGGACGACTCCCCACTGATAGACGACAGATAGATTGATGACCTCTTCAAATGTGCGGGAAGGCCTATGTTCAGCAGTGGACTCAAATAAGCTTTAATGATGATGAAAGCGAATCAATTGATTTTATGTATAATACACATTTTAGACGGCAGAGTAAAATGTTTTTTCAAGAAAAGAGGTCGTAACGCCGCCGTTTGCCATGGGGCTCGCTAGCACCCCTAGTAAAAGCTCCAGCACCCACTAGGGGGCGTTACTGCCCCCGTTGGGAATCTATAATCTAGATCAACGTATACTCCCTCCGCTTAATTTTAATACTAGCTAAAAAAAACCATGAATACAAACAAAATGGCATATATTTCAAAATCGTTCAAATAAAGTTAAAAGCTTTTACATACATTGGATCTGTAATATAAGGAATTTACGTATCACTTAAAAGCTAGGTAACTTGGGGCTCACGCTAAAACGCTCGTAAAAAATTCTTATCCGTATATGCGGGTCGTAAAATTGAAAAATCCGTTCCGCGCATAAGTGTTGTCTTACCGAGCCAAATCGAATAAAAATGAACGATTGCATATCGCCAAGAATATTACTACAGACGTTTAGACGAGATATTCACAAAAAAATATTAGTATAATTTATTGCTATCTCAGACCAATAAAAAAGTACTTTTGTATTGGTCTGAGATTACTATATTAAAAAAATACAGTATCCGAAATATTAAAAATACAAAATTAGGTACCAGAGACAGCGCCGGCATCTCTGCACTCCGGGCGAGTTATGGTTAATTAGGCGCCCTTTTTAAACGACTTTAAAAATGAGGAGGTTATCAATTCTGTTGTTGTTTTTATGTTTGTTACCTCATTTATGAATCAATTTCTAAAGCAGTGGTTTCGGTTTAGCTTCCATATGGCCTCATAATTTCATTGATTTAACCTTGGATCGGAGATAAATCAAAATAGAAAATTGCACCACTATTAATGTCGGTCTGCTGAGAGTTTGAGGAACTTTCCCGAAACAGCATACCCATTAGTTGGTGGTTAGCTGCTGCGTGGTTCTTCAGTCTTTGTCATAATCTGTCATGATGCACTTTTTTCTTTATTAACTGATTTTAACGCTTTCAGTCCCGAAACTATTAAAGCTTCGTCGAACGCAGAACCGGTGGGCTAGCCAGAACCCACGGGTTTGAGGCTCTCCACAGTTGGTAGTGCCACGCATGTGCTCATGCGTGCGTTAGCCAAGGTATGTACTTTAAAACCGCTCATAGAAATGCTCCGTTTTCACGAGCTTGATACGTCTTACATCATGTATATATATATAGCCTATTATCTCGCCGATTATCTGTATTTTTTCTGTTTTTGTTTAATGTAAAAACATTGCCCTTACTTTAGGATAACATTATCCTGTGTTGTAAGGACGTTTAACAAACATAAATTTCACGTGGACAAACACACAGATTCGAAACAACTATCTGTGGGTCACACAAATAGTTGTCCCGTGTGGGATCGAACCCGACGCCGAAGCCAATACCTTGGCAACTGCGCCACGGAGTCATAAAATTTTATAGTTCAATTATTCTTGGATTAGCTGCGCTATAAGATTTAAAGTGTGGCTAAGGTGCTTCGCAAAAACAGAAACGAACAAACTTTTGAAAATATTTTTTATTCGTGCATATACCAAGATACAGCATGCACCTAACAAGTAACAAAAATTGTCCTACTTAAAGAATAGCCTAGTTATGGAAAGTTGACTGACAAGATAAGTATTTACAACAAATACATTGCAAAACCAAACAATGGAATCAACCTTATTCACCTTGGCGTTAAGAAATTAACCTTCGTTGTGCAACAATCCAAGTCCCACGGAAGATCTGTTTTTTATTATGAATAACCTACTTGAAATATAAAAATTAAACTACAATCAAAACAATTTAATTTTCATGTCACAAATACAGGCAGGCTAAATATTTTCCGTTAAGTTCTAGATCCAAAACTTCAACCACTTGCTTTTGTTACATAATAATTTTGTTTAACATAGATAATAGATATCCTATTAACTACAAAAACTTTTCGATCGTTTATTTTTTTTGTGTTAATTATTTGTATTTATTGTAATTCTTACGTTATGTACTTTAATGTAAACAAAAGTTATTACGTCTTTATTACACGAATCAAATAACGATAAGCTGAAAGTAATGTTGCATATCGATAGTCTGCTATCGATAGAAAATCGATTATCTATCGATAGTTAAGGTAAAAGCAACAGTATCGGTAGTAACTATCTCTACTAACTCGATAGGTTTGTACTATCAATAGCCAGTAAAAGGCTATTGATAGTACAAAATCATCGATAGTATCGACAGTTTTTGTCAAAAACTAATGGCAATTGCAATACTATCGATACCATCGATACTATCGCATGCATTACTATCGATACCATATTGCTGTTATCAATAGTATTGGCACTTGGAGAGCCATCGATATTATCGGTAGTATCGACAGTATTGACTTAGACGATATTATCGATAGTACAATCGATATCCTGAATAGTTTTCGAGGTCAACTATCGATAGTCAAACTATCGATGGTTGTGCAACACTAGCTAAAAGTAAAGTTACTTTTACGGCATTGAAATTAACTTTTATCCATAGATAATTCATAAATCATTATCATTGCGTCTAATTACCTGTTAAAATCAGTGTTAACGTTTTATAAATTACCTATTTAATTACATCTTACAAGGGACTTATGTTCTTTTATGAAATTAGGAGATTTCTGTTATAATTTTTTTTTAAAAAGTACTATACTGATCAATTATAAGTTGTAAAAATAACAATGGACGACAATTTCAAGCAAGTAAACATGGGGTACAATTGAGGTATAATCCTAGATTATAATAGACTACTATTAAAATTAACCTATCATTGTTACCCGATACTAAGGACCATAGATAATAAGGTTACACATATATCTATGTATGGTTAATAACTTAAAAAAGAAATAAACAATTTTCCGCCATTTAACATTTATACATGGTTCATCTCTAATGATAATAATTATAAAACGGACTGATTGTTAGTTTCATAAGAAAAGTTGCCTGTTGGGGATAAATAAATAATTATATGTCTGTGATCAATAAATAATTAATTATATATGTCATTCTGTAGAAGCTGTTGGACTATGTAATTGCATATATAATTTTAAATAAAAAAAAACAATAGAAACGATATTGTTGGTGTTTTACGAATAAATCCCCCATCTAACATTCAGTAGCAGTATGAGCATATGTTAAAACAAAAAATTATTTCAATCTATCTCACTACATTTTTACCTATTCAAATGAAACAATCAATTATGAATAGATATGAATTAAAAAAAAATTACAATATGAATGTTAAATGCAAATCATATCAAATCAACACAATACATACACAATTCTGTATGTGATACAAAAAGTTTGTTAAATATTAATAGTACTTAATCTGATTTAACTTGATTTACAAAACCGATATGGTTCCCAATTTGTTTTTTTTTTTTTTTGCGATTGGCAACAAAATGAAAACTGTACACAAACTAGTATCTACTGTTACTTCACCTGTAAGTACCTATAATTACTAATAATACAAAACTAAACCTAAGAATAATGTTTGAGAAGCTGAAAATCAGACTTGATTACTCATATGAGGAGGGTCCTTTGTCATTTATTAATAGTTTTATAGAAAAAATGTAACAATTTTATTGTTCCACATAATATATATACAAATGTTATTGAGAACTTATTCCAACTTTCTATTATTTACTTTATTGGTCTTAATTTTTTAAATAAGAATCATTATTCACACTATGTATAAATATATAAACTATATACATATTTTTATCCATTTAAAGTAACTGATTTAGAAAGGACAAATAAAATATAAATCTATGGTGCAGCTTTCCGCCTGATACTTTCCAGCTAAAGTACAAATAAAGGAAATTTATTAATTTGAAAAAATATTGAGGATAATATTAGAAACTTTTTACTTTCTATTAGATTGTAATATGCCAAACTTATCACTATGTATCCCATCCAATTTAAGATATGGTAAAGTTTTATTTTCTAAATATTTATTTCTTATAACTATTTAAGTTAAAAAAAAAACAGCAGGCAATGTGAGCAAACAATGTAAAATAAGTACCATTGACTGAAAACTCGTTGGGTTTGATTGTATTTACTGAAATTATTAATAATTTCTTTGTTTCGTAAATTTGTTGATATAATTGTGTTTTCCACACAATTATATCTTTTCACACTTTGAAGCGTGTGCTAGTATAAACAATGCTAAGGTTTCAGTATCTTCCCAATATAACAATGAATAGATAAAGCTTGAGCATACTTATTATCCCTCGAAAAAACCAAAGTTCACAGTTGCAGAATGAAAAGTCATCCTTTAACCAAGTCACTGAAAAATTTTCACTTCACCGATTCTACACAATTGATCATGTATCACCTTTTTAGGTAGTCGATAGGTTCACAGTAAAAAAAAAACTATTTCGTTACAGCACTACAATATTTCATGTTACAACACTGCACTTAGCCGGAATAGTTGTAGTCCAGCTCGGAGCTATCGACCGGGGGCCGGTGGTGGTTTGCCGGGTCGGCATTGGGCTGATACGCTGGGTTGAGGACCCTGGTCGCGATCCTTGAGCCATCCAGCACCGAGGCCGGGAGGCGGAGCACGTAGTCCTGGTCGAGGGGACGATCGCCATTCCTCGCCCTCTCGGACCAAGGGATCAATCTGATATCTGTAGGGCTCCTGGGGGCGACCGCACTCAAGCGGGGCATCCTGCGAGCGAGAGCCCCCAGCCTTGACTCCTCGGGGCGCTCCTGCCTGCCCTCGGGGGCGAAGCCCTGGGCCTCCGCCCTCCGGCTCTCCGCTCGCTGGCCGGACGCGAACATGTGCTGGTAGCGGGCGATCTCGCAGGGCAGCAGCGGCCTAGCGTCCCTCCCGATCCTCTGGACCGTGATCTGACGCTGGTTGCTGTTCGGAGAAGTTATGGACGACGAGTCTACCGTGTGAGCGGGCTGGATGATGATCCCGCTTTGCGGCGCCCGCCCCCCCGGGAAGTTGAGCGCGAAGAAATCGGGCAATGGCACGCAGAACACACCGAGCTCTTCCTGCGAAGGGTCATTCGTTCGGGCTTTAAAGATAAGCTCCAAAGTTAAAAAAACTTTTCAAAATTTCTTGGTGGATTTTATACCTGTTTCCGGCACCTTTTCATATACATAAATTGTCTATTTTAGATTAGGATTAAAATTTGCCAAACATAAGAGAAAGTGCTACCAAAATCCACTTGGTTCTTTGATTCATTTATAGTATTAAAAATTTTTGTTAAATAAAATACCCTAATAATCTTACATACTATAATATTACACACACATGGCACATTGTCACTGTAATGTATTATGGTTGCAGTTGGATTAATTATTTCTGTGTACCTAACTATAACCATCTACCGACATGTTCCATATAATAATTAAACCAGCCGTGAATTGAATCGTTCGCCGCATTGTTTAATTCATAACATACCAGTCACAAGGACTATTTTGTTTTTTTTATGTGCAAAGTTAGCAAGCTAGCAGGCAGTTCACCTTATGGTAGATGATTACTGCTGCCCATGGACATTTATGCCAGCATAGGCGTTGTAGATGTGTAGCCAACCTCAAAAACGAGGGCCCGGGTAACCTCACCCACTAAACGAAACACAGAAGGATAATTCCGTCCACTTATGATCTTCTGTAAGGCACTGTTACTTACTCGAAAGAACCTGCCCATTTATGCGACAACTAAAGCTTGTGTGTGGCCTTACCATAACTAAAACCAAAACTTAAAAAAAAGCTGAATGAATAAAAAGTTCAATTAGACATGCACAAATAGACAATTTCTAAGCAGAAGAGCATTCTTGCACTTTGAAGGCATAAATGTGAGAAAAAAAAGAAAGATTAAACTATGCACACATACCGAGTTACTAAATAAAAATATAAATCTAATTTCTAAATATAAATATAAATTCTAAAGTCGTAAATGCGAGGTATCTTACGTTGGTGTTCGGTGCCCTCTCGCCACCACTCTCCGGGATTGTGATGAACGGCTTCCTTTCCACTTGGCTACTATGTGCTGCGGCCGCTTTCTCTTTCTCTTCTTTATCCTTCTCCTCGTCCAGAGGTACATCGGGAACCACCTGCAGGTCTTCTGGCGGGTTTGGCACTATCACGTAGCTCGCTATTATACTTGACAGTTGGTCTAAAACCTGTGAATGTGATTTTCACCTGTCATTAATTCTATACTGAATATGTCTACATATACAACCAGATATTGAAATTTGCTCTTTTTTATATTATTTCTAAGGCTTTATCATTTTTATATGTAATATCTCCTTAAACTTAACTGAAATTAATGACTGATAATCATTTTCAAGATCATGGTTCCTGATGATGAGGTAAAACAACCAAATATTTTACATGTTCATTTTAAATTATTAATTAACATATACAAAATATTAATTAAAGCACTTTAAAAGCATAAACAACTACAAATTCCATTTGAATCATCTCTACAGACCTCAAACAAAATAGGTTAACATGATGAAACTACCCTTTAATCTAATTACCCCTTAATATAATATTATTCTCTTTTTAATATTACTACAAAGAATTGACATATCTATTTTGCTACATCTTTACATAAACACAATCAATTTATTAGGTTAAATTCAACCATCTACAAATACCGCAAAGTTTATTATCATTAGAGTAAACCTGTCATGTGTTTTCTCCAGAATTGATGTCTAAGTATTATTTCCAAAACACTTCTTTGTGTGAACATAAGTTAGAGAAGGGTGCTCTTCGTGTTCTCTGTATCTCTTGCATTATTAAAACCCTTGTAAAATTTATAGAATTAATTTAAACTTTTAGTTTGTGTCAATTCTAGATGAGCCTGTTTCTAATTTAATGTTGTGTTTTTATTTACAGATATGTAACTACCATGAAATTTTCATATTACTGATTAAAGGCTGCATTACCACTTAGCATCAGGTGCAACGGCAGTCAAGTGCTGAGCAGTTTTATATTAAAAAAAATGTTTTTATAGTACTTGATTTTTGACCAAGTAGTGTTGTATACTCATACAATATTGACTTAATTATTTTTTTCCTAATATTTATAAATCATTTGTAGTGTATATGATTTGTCAAGTGTATATGATTTGCCCATTCCTAAATAACTAACTAAAGTAGTATGACTAAATCAACTTTAGGAGAATAATATATCATTAAAACTTTCCATTACATCAAACTGAATGAATTAAAATATTGCTGAACTGGTATTAATTTTCGTAATTAGATAAATTAGTAATTAAGGATGGTTATTAATTGCTAATAAATTAAACAAGTTATTATAATATATATCGAAATTCCTTAGATAATTATTTAAGTGCTCGTGAATGTGCTTTTAATAATTTATCAGATAAATATTTTCGTATTTAATTTAGTAAATTATCACATATTATGTTTTAGTGTGAACAATGATTTTGGAATATAAAATAAATAGACAAAACCATACTCAATAATTACAGTATACTAATAATACTCAAAGAATGTTGTTTTACTCACATCATCTGCCAGCAATCTGTGTTTGGGATCCTTCACAAGCAGCCTTTGAATCAGAAACACTGTGTTGTCCGAAACTTGAACTGAATTACCGTCCCTGTAACAGAGATTGTGGAAATTTAGTGTAAAAAATTGTTTGTAACAAAATTTCTGCTCTTGTCAACAAACATAAAAGAGACAGAGTAAGTATAAGTAAGTCTATGCTCACAAACTTTTCATTACTATGATATGTAGGGACATCTTTAAAGAATGCTTGACCGGGTGTCTTACGTCACTGACTTAAATAAAAAGAGTTTATTGTTTTTTTTTTTTTTAAATCAGATACAATTAAGCAAGGGTTCACTTATTTAAATAGAAATATATATTTTTAAAATTTCACGTGAGAAGAGACAGGAGAGAGTGTTGAACAAAATCTCACGTCATGTCATCAAGGGGAAAGGGGAGTCGAAAAATCACCTCAAGAAAATAATGGATGCCACCTTAGTTTTAAAAAGTATAAATATCTCTTGTTAATAGAGTATGTGTTTAAAGTGGTAAAGGTTTCTCATACTGGTAATTAGATAATTTTAAATAGAAAAATGTTTTCTTTCCACACTAACCAAAATCAATTATGATAAAAAATAACGCCTATTTAGCATCATATTATATTAAACCATCATAGAGTTCACATCGCCAGAAATACTTACGGCGGTATATTATAATTTGCGGCCTGTATCCGACTAAAGAGCTGCGCAAGGCTTGTGTCGCAAAATGGGAACTGACCGTACAACATTGTATAAAGTACTACACCAAGTGCCCACATGTCAGAAGGCTTTCCCAGGTATGGTTTGCACATCAGCACATCTGGTGAAATATAGGCTGGTGAACCTGGAAGCATATAACATATTGATTAGTTTTTAATAATAACTTATACGAAAGTCTCAATCATTTTAAAACAACATTGAAAAATGAAAGCAACTGCTATAAGTGCTATTTAAGGTATAAAATGATGATTGGACATAGGAATTTTTAAAAGTTGAGGCACAGTTTAAAAACTCCTAAAATATTGCCACAGTTATTTAATCCCAATAACAGTGAACGGAATGATTTATATGTTGCATTAATACTGCAATATTGTACTCAACCTGACATTTTTTTATAATTAATAATAATTATAATAAAAATAAACTATATTGATAACTGTCAAGGTTTTTTTTATTTACATTTATATTATATAAAAATATAAACTTTATACTGTTTTCTATTACACAATATAGTGTATTTTTTGTATAATTTCAGTAATTAATTTGTCGAACATAATTCCTCATCATCATCCACAATATAAGTTGAAATTGATTACCATACCTCTCTGATCCTTCAACAAGTCCCGGTCGCTGCCTAAATGAGTGCCCAAGCAGAAATTAGTGATGGTTATACGTCCAGTTCTTTGGTTTAGCACTATGTTACCTAATTTCAGGTCTCTATGCACTATGTTTCTCTGAAAGTATAATTATTCATAATTTATTAAGTCACTGAAAGAGAATTTATGATCCAAAACAGAGATCTAGACAAATTATTATATTACATAATAATAAAATCAATATGAAGCTGGATAATTTTATTATTACTTTGCTTTATCTAAAACCTACCTTATGCAAATTTGCAACAACCCTAACAATATCATAAAATATAAGAACAGCTTCTTTCTCTGGCACTTTTTTAACTTTCGTAACATACTGCTGCAGGTTAATCAGTTCACTGCCCTTTTCGCTAAACTGGTGGGAGGTGACACAGTCTAAAACCAGAAATAGCCTCTGTCGAACTCGGCCAGTGTACACAAAACCTGGCCCATTCGGGTTGGGGATTTCTTCAAGAGCATGGTCCTAGAAATGTGGAAGTTAAAATAATTAGTATCAAAATAAAAATTACTAATTACCTCTTGAGTACAAACAACTCCAACATGTTATAATTTTATTATCAAATTATCTAACAAACCTACTTAAGACATGGCCTCAATAAACACTTTATTTCGTTACTATACTTTTGGCACAAAAAGAATTGACATTTTCGGCACAAAGGCTAAGAATTTTATAAGTGTGGACAAAACAGATTTGTTAATTTTATCAGTAAAAAGTTCGTGTGGACTGAAGATATTATTAAAGTAAAAGTAAGATTAGATAAGAGGTTGAACCAAGTCTTGAACTGAATAAAGAAATTTTACCTTAAAAAGTCCATGATGATGGACTACACCATCCTGATCCTTTAATAACGACAAAAGAGAATATTCCGTGTGCAGTAACATCTTTCCCTGTCTGTCATCTTGTGTCTCAGGCTGACCCTCATTGCGCAAAGTCAAAATTTTAATTTGATAAAACTCATCTGTTCTTTCTTTTCGTGCTAAACATTGAACAATACTTTTAACTGGACTCGGCCCAAGCTTTGGACCGAGTAAGTATGGCCCAGCCTTGCGAACGTGCTTATCTGGTACGGGAGTTCCTGGGGGTGGGACATCGCTCTTGTTGTAAAGCAGTTTAGATTTTTTGAGCGAATGTGGGCCCAACTTTTTTGAGTTTTTAAGCACAGCACTTGATGAATTTCCGTAAGCCGACACTCGAGCGATCTTCGGACTCGGTTGAAGTAACAAAGGTCGTGTTCGTTTTCCATGATTTACTGTACTTTCTGGCGTCTCTTGATCCATGTCGTGACACTTTCCCAACAGTTACTTTTACTATTTCTCTTTAAGGAAAATATTAGGGTTCTAATGACTTCAACAGTTATTTACAGATATGCTTAACATATAAATCTGTATGTAAATAATATAAAAGAGTTACATATTACATATGTATTACGGCCTTTTATTTACTGAACTTTAATATACTTCAATTGCAATGCACAGATGTAAAACAAAAAACATATGATACTGGTGATGGTGAGTGGTGGGTGTGCGTAATACTAGGCAACACTTATATTAGAAGATTAAATAACAAATAGGTTAAATTTGATGCACATAAAGTTAACATTTAAATTACAAAAAAAAATTATATCTAGTTTTTTTGTAATAATTACGAATCAAATTAATAAATTTCACAATCATTTCAGGATCCCTAAACAGTGATGTAACATCATGTCAATAATTTTACAATTTGTGCAACACTTTCTAGTCGTAACATTTTGACAGATATTTTAACCATGTTTTTGTCATGACTTGAATAGTTTCTGTCTATTTTCTGTGACTCTGAAAAAGTTAATGTTACGAAATAATCAATTAAAATTAATACAATTGTAAATATAATCCAGATCAGCATGTGGAAAGGATTAAGATTGACCCAAACGCAATTATCTAAGATACATTTCAATGGCCACAAATTGCAACCAGTCGGTGTTCCGGCGCTTGATTCAGTTTTAAATCAGTGGTATGAATTTTGTAAGAAGCCACCGAAAGGATTCGAGAAATATTTCCAGCCCGGTACAAGCCAAAAACAGTCGAAAACCCCCGAAAAGGATGAGTCTCCTACACCGTCCAAAACTTCACCACCACCATCAAAAAGTACAGCTTCATCGTCTTCTCAAGATAAATGGAACATAAATATGTTCTCGGGAAGTTCAGGAAGTGGCCGAGGTGGCCGTGGCGGATTTGACAATCCGGACCGAGAAAAGTGGATGATGTTTGGAGCCATGGGTATAGTCACCCTGTTTGCGTCGATTGCGTATTTCGAGCTCAGGTATAGGGAGATAAGCTGGAGGGACTTTGTGAACATGTATTTAAACAAAGGGGCTGTTGAAAAACTGGAAGTGATTAATAAAAAATGGGTAAGAGTAAAACTACAACCAGGAGCTTTTGAAGGAAAGGTCATCTGGTTTGCTATTGGAAGTGTAGATTCATTTGAAAGGAATTTGGAAAATGCCCAAATCGAGATGAATGTGGACCCACCTAATTTTATTCCCGTTATTTATAAAACAGAAGTAGAGGCCTCCAGTTTAACAGGCATGCTGCCAACTTTACTCATAATAGGGTTTTTAATCTATATGATGAGGAGATCAGCAAACATGATGGGCGGTGCTGGCCGTAAAGGTGGTGGCTTATTTGGTGGTGTAATGGAGTCTACTGCAAAACTTATTAATCCTACTGATATTGGTGTAAAGTTTAGAGATGTGGCTGGTTGTGAGGAAGCCAAAATTGAGATTATGGAATTTGTCAATTTCTTAAAGAATCCTCAACAATACATTGATTTAGGAGCCAAAATCCCGAAAGGTGCTTTACTTACTGGCCCACCTGGTACTGGTAAAACTTTACTAGCTAAAGCGACAGCTGGTGAGGCTAATGTTCCCTTCCTCACAGTGTCTGGTTCTGAGTTCCTCGAAATGTTTGTTGGTGTGGGTCCATCTAGAGTTCGTGACATGTTCTCAATGGCTCGCAAACATGCCCCTTGCATTCTGTTTATAGATGAAATAGACGCTGTTGGAAGAAAACGGGGTGGGCGTAGTTTTGGTGGTCATTCAGAACAGGAAAATACTCTTAACCAGCTATTAGTTGAAATGGATGGCTTTAACACAACAACAAATGTTGTAGTGTTAGCTGCTACAAACAGAGTAGACATACTTGACAAAGCACTGCTAAGACCTGGTAGATTTGACAGACAAATCTTTGTGCCCGCACCAGATATTAAAGGCAGAGCGTCAATCTTCAAAGTTCATTTAGGGCCTCTAAAGACATCACTAAACAAAGATAACCTAGCTCGAAAAATGGCTGCATTAACTCCAGGTACGATTTTTTTCCTCACCATTACTTTTTCAATTGTAAAAAATATTACATAATTTTTAATTGTTTTGGAAGAGTAAGAAGTAGAAGAAAGTAAATGTTTAATACAATTTTAAAAAGTTGATATAAGGTTACATTAGTAGCGCCTTTTTGTATATATGCATACATATGGGTATTATGATCCATGTATACTATAGTAAACTATCATAGACAGAAAATGTAACTAATGAGATCTCAGATTTACTTGTATATATTACTAAAATAGCTACATACATACTAAAATAGTTTAACAAAACTATTTTAAACATTTATTCCAATTATAATTTTAACTATTACATCACACATGCCTGACTGCCGTAAGTGTGGCCTTTTTGCACATTATGAGATGTATGGGACTATAGATGCTGTATAGTTTTGAAAACAGAGCAATTCAGCATGCAAAATTTCAAACACACGGTCTTAAATTGGCAAAATATTTAATTGAAATTTGTAAAAAATTTTTTAGATGCAATAAATGTGTTAGTAAAGTTATACATAATACGCATAAGATAGTTCTTTAAGAATCCTCAAATCTCAGATAAACTCCGAGCAAATTAGACTTCTGGAGACGTTCATACCCACAAACTGCTTGCACATCATCTTTTAATAAAAGAAATGGTAATAAAACTACAAATCCCGAATTGCAGGCTTCACCGGTGCCGACATAGCAAACGTGTGCAACGAGGCAGCCCTGATCGCGGCTAGGGAGCTCCAGAACGACATAAACATGAAGAACTTCGAACAGGCCATTGAGAGAGTTGTGGCCGGAATGGAGAAGAAATCAAACGTCCTGCAGCCGGAGGAGAGGAAGATTGTCGCTTACCACGAGGCGGGCCACGCGGTCGCCGGTTGGTTCCTGCAGCACGCGGACCCATTACTTAAAGTATCCATCATACCGAGAGGCAAAGGCTTGGGTTACGCACAGTACCTTCCCAAGGAGCAATACCTGTACAGTAAGGAGCAGCTGTTCGACAGGATGTGCATGACCCTGGGCGGCAGGGTGAGCGAGGAGCTGTTCTTCGGGCGCATCACGACCGGCGCCCAAGACGACCTCAAGAAGATAACGCAGAGCGCGTACGCTCAGATCGTCCACTATGGCATGAACGCGAAAGTTGGCAACGTCTCCTTCGAAATGCCCCAGCCCGGCGAGATGGTGATAGACAAGCCGTACTCGGAGAAAACAGCTGAACTGATCGACGGGGAGGTGCGGGAGCTGATAAACACCGCCCACAAGCACACAACAGAACTGCTTACCAAGCACAAGGAGAACATTGTGAAGGTGGCAGAGAGACTGCTGAAACAGGAGATACTCAGCAGGGACGACATGATCGAGCTTTTGGGACCGAGGCCGTTCCCAGAGAAGAGCACTTACGAGGAGTTTGTGGAAGGGACGGGTTCGTTAGATGAGGACACGAGCCTGCCCGAAGGCCTCAAAGACTGGAACAAAGAGAAACCAGCTGCCACCACGAGTGTACCAACTGGCGATAGTAAAAACTAAGCATTTTGTATTATGTAGAATCTTTTAGTCAGTTATTATGTGAAATAAACGTAACATCTAATCTAAGACAAAAGGACTTTGTGTTTAAGTTGTTTTTTCATCAGATGCAAAATTAAGATAACTTAGACTGTAAACTGTTTTAGCTTTTTCACGAGACTCACAACCGCTACACGGTACACGCTGTCGGCATTTTAAAAAAAAAGTGTATTTATATTAGCTGTTTTTAATACAGATAATTTATGATGTACTAGTTAATGTTTTTGTTAATAAATAAATTCAGATTGTAAAATGTCTTTTTCTTAACACTGGTTTACGGAATTGAAGCACAAATGTTGCCATTAGCAAACGAGCCCAAAGCCAAGAAGCACTATAACTTATACAAGCAAGGGAATGAGCCATTCCTACATGAACGCAGATATAATGTAATGTTTGAGGGTGGTCATTTACAAACCAAGTGGAATCGTGGAGGAATACAATCATTAAAATTACTTATTGATTGACCAAACAGTAGTGTTTTTTTACAAGCCGGCAGTAGTGCCGGCTTGTGAAAAAAACTTGTTCACCGTGTTCCGTACCATTATCTTTAAAAACGAAAAAAAAATCATGTTTGTTATATGGGAGTCCCACTTAAGTATTTTACATTATATTTTTAGTATTTGTTGTTATAGCGGCAACATAGGCACAAATACACCATTATTGAAAATTTCAACTGTCTAACTATCACGGTTCATGAGATACACCGTTTGGTGCCAGACGGACAGACAGACCCTTGGGGTACGGAATCCTAAAAAGCCACTTACCTGAAAAGAACCGGCGAAATTCAGCGTGATAATTTTTTTTTTTTATTAATGTTCTTCATTTAGGGTGTGATATTTGCCCGGAAAGGCCTGCCTATCCGTCTTTAGCAGAAGCTGTTTCAATTCGCTTAAGAAATCAGAGTAACATGGTATTCTATTAAATGCAGATAGTGTTCAAACATCAGTTCGAAATGAAACTTTTTTCAAAAGGGATTGTCTAGTGCCTGATTGCCTGATACTCCTGACCTCAACCTTACATAGACGCTAGAAGAAAGTTCTTTCAAAGATGAAGTAAGAAAATCTTTAATGAAAACACTTGAATACAAAATTCGCGATTTTTTTTGCGTGCGCAACGTGAAAATAATATTTCAAATGTGAATATTGTATCATTAAAAAGTTAATTTTTAATGATAACTTTTAACTGTAACTGCACATAACTCTTACTGGCGTTGCGTTAATTTTACCTACACCATATCTAGTAGGCATTGTGTTCGAGTAGATCCCTCCCCCAATCAGTGCTAACTTTGGGACTTCCGTGCGCTAGTAAACCTGCAGCCCGACTCAGTAGAATAGGCACTTGTAGCATCATCTCTAAACAGCCTGTTGAGCATCATAGTATATGGTGGTATCCACTTACACAGATTTAGCGTTAATGTCATAAGCCAACGGAGCAAGTACTTTCAGAAGAACGCGGCTTCAATGCATACCAGATCTCGTCACATTGGATTAACCGCATTTTTGTATGCAATTTTGTGTATGTGTGTGTGCGCGGGCAGTTGTGTATGTGTGTGTTATGGAAAACAATATCGCTTAACATGATGATACATTAAGCAGCTTATTCGGAGATAGCTTTACAGCCAGCAACACTCCTCCATTTTGTGTTGTCCCAACTCTCTGGTGGTAAGCGAGGCAAATTATCAACCCGAACGCGAACGTCAACAAGTGTCGACTGCACAACATCTTCATCGGCCCGGTTGAGGAAGGGGACTTAAGTACTTCGAACCCACCGTCGAGGTCCCGCCAAATAACATTAGACACTCAGTTAGTGTGCATCAACAAACACCATAGTTCGTCCTAGCCTTCGAGCATATAACAATACAAAAACAAAATTTTGTGTTGTTGGGTGAGTCTTTAGTTCAATCATCCACCGCATGATGGCTCTGGGATTCTAGTATCTAATCTTCGCCACTACTCGGTGCCGTGATTAGCGATGGCATGGTGTATGTTAACTCCCTAAGTTCCCTAGAGCAGTCAATATAAAAATTTCTCATTCTAATAGAAGACAGAATATAGATTTACCTTCAAAGGATGCCTTGCGCTGTACAAGAGGCGCGGTAGCAAATACCACGCTTCTCATCGTTTTGTAACATTAGTTGACGAGTGTTAGCTACCGACTATTGATTCCACTCTTGCTGCCCTTTGCGCTGTTGTTTGTGCCTTTGAATACAATCATGTGGCCTGAATTTTTAAACATCCATACATAAATACTCCCAGGCATACGTACATAAATTCGTACATAAAGCGTACATTTCTGGAAACTATTCTCTGGCGCTCGAATAAAAGAAACCTTCACTTCGTTCTTTGCAAAATGCAATCCAATTAAGATCAAAGATTTGTCAAATGTTGAACATTAATGTTAGAAGTTGTTGTCATTGAAATACAATTCAAGACGCCCGTTGAAATCGTGTATCTACTATATTATAATTATAATACAGACTATTATTCGTGTATTATACAAAATATTGTCATTGTCATGTTTCTCGATTTATATAAACGTATATATATCATTTGATTGTTTATTTATTATAACTGTTTTAGAAGATTGCGCCTATTCATAACGCTCTTTAAAAATTCAATATCAAGTGTTCATTACTTTTTAAACCTTGAATTTGAATGTACAATCATTCCTTTTAACGCAACACAAATACTAACAGAGTAGCTCTATTTGCATGACAAGCATGTTTCGTTTTTAACTTGTCTAATTCGAGATTATAAAACGTATATTCTCTATAGAAAAATTAGTTTAGCTTAATTTTTTAAGTACTGTCATCGAATACATGTCTTTAAAGTAATTAGTAAACATATTTATATTCATGACCTTGTATTATGAACCATAATATTTCTTTAGATCAACGAAAGATGACGTTAATGTTAACGAGTGAAGGTTATTTACGTTTACTTCTTCAATTTCTTTTTATTGATACAATCAATTTAAAAGAATAAAATTTAGCTTTAGTCAAACAAAATAAATTAATCGAACTACTCATCTATAAAAATAAATAAAATGGTCGTATCATTAATAGCTTTATTTAATTCAAATGAAAGTTTGAACGTAATTTTTTTAATTACAATACTTTTACGTACATACCAAAAAAATATTGTCCGTTCCGTTTGCTTGTTCTGACCAATCTCCCAAACGGCTGGACTGATATTAAAAGGATGAATTTTTGTAATTTCGTCCTGCTCACTTTTATTTTAGACCAAGATAGAGTTCGACGCACAAATAAAATATACAAATTTTGTAAAAAATAACATTGGTTTCATTTGGTACCAAGAATAACATAGGGCCCGCACCAGAAATATATGGGGGCTATGATCATCACATAATTTATTATCTTATTCACACTTATTTTAGGATTACGGTCACGCTATATAAATCCTATACAAGCTTTTCTACAAATTTAAACGTGTACCAACTATTAAATACGTATGTATGACTGTATGTACAACTGTACTCAAACTCAAGTATGTAAAAATCTGTGAACTTATACTGTTGAATAAGATAAGACCTAAAGAAAACCAAGGCCTAAGGAATTCATAAGAATGAACTAGTTCCCGTGAAATAAAGGCTGCATAGATAAGACATATATATTAGAAGGCTGGATGATTTTAGGCTCATTGCATGCATGACAGTCGTGTTCACGGTAGGACCTCTATCAGATGTATGTCAATCAAAGAGTACTTTTATACATCTGAAGTCAATGATGTCAGTCGAGTGTATCGTCAATCAAAACAACTTATGACGATACTCAGTTCAGTGGAGACTAATAATATATGACTGCAATCGAAGGTACCAAGGAAGAAAAGTTATTTCTAGCCTAGACGACATTAATGGTTTTACTTCATGAATTTAATAAGTGTTACCTATTTGTCAAGTTTAAAAAGTACTAGCTTTTGAATATTTCATGACATAAAGCTTATAGATGACAGTTATAACTAAAGCCTCAATCACGCACAGCGAACAACGAATTCTCACTGCAATTACCTCACAGCCAGCGAGAACACGATGTGTGCGACAGCGTTCGCTGCGGATTCCGCTCAGCGGACCGCTTAAGACTAATTTCTTGGTTCCTCTGCAGCCAAGTAAATTAGATCTGTTCCCCGCGTTCAATTCATTTTCGCTTTAAGTGAGCTGCAAGCTTGGTCAGTATTTGGTTTGCTAACTGTGCACGTGCCAACCGAATACAGTATTTTGGACGTGTGTGCCAAATATTTGTCATTAAGTCTTAATTTATTAAAATTTTCTTTTTTTATATATTTATTTTACTTAGTTTTTTATAATTTTACAGAATAAATAAATTACCCACTTAAGAAGATATCATCATGATCCTCCTGCCCTTACTCCACCAAGTAGGAGTCGGCGCATGTGAGTCATGTTAGTAAGTAGTTTCGGCTAGAATTGTTGCCTGCCTGACGTCAACCCTTCTTAGGAACAAACAGATCCGGAATAATTATCTGTGGGTCACAAAATACTTGTCCCCTGTGGGAATTGAACCCAAGGTTCCTGGCGCGCAAGCCAACAGCTTAGCAACTGCGCCACCTGGTTATGTAGATAATTAAGTAATAAAACTATGCAAAAGATTACAAAAACTTTTATTTTAAACTTAGAATAAATATGAAAAAAATTAATCGTATTCTCTTGTAAATTTTAAAGACACAATCTGGACTCTATACGTCATACATACAATATAGTACAAATTTTAAAATTTCTTCTTACCGTTGAACAGACAGACATGTATAATTGTATAGTTTTAGTTGTTTTGTTCTAATTGTATAGTTTTAGTTAGGTTATGAGTTTAGAATATTACGTCCTAAAAACATTGCGCAAGGCTTGGCTAGATGGCGTTAGCGAACGAATAAAGTTGATTACTTGAAATAAAAACCAAATCTGTTATGCTAGCTGAAGGAGAAACTATGGAATATTCGATATTAAGAAAGTAAAGTAAAAAGGAAGGCGGTAACCAAGTCGCACGCAAGCAGTTTACAATTTCGATAAGGAATGTATGAACACAAGGTATTTAAATAACTCACTACAATTTCGAGTACCAATATATTTAATTGGCCACTGGCTGAAATCAAAAATTTACATTCGCCTCCCATCTCCATATAAACTGAATGTGCTAGGGCGAGCACTGTCGCGCTATATTTCGCATTAGTCTTTACTGCGTACGACGCTTAGTGAACGCGCAAATGCGTCGCCCTATACAGACACGAAGGAACAAATTCAACAAAAAAAATAAAACAGGTTATATTAAAATTATAATATGAAAATATTCAAATATCGGCTGAACGAATATCCAACCTTTCTTTCTGTTTATTTAAATATTCACTACATTACTTTATACATCACCAATATCTTAAGTAAATTCAGTTTTTTTGTACAATATAAAAAGAATCTTACATTACTTCTATGTTTACACGCAAGAAGTGTAACGCCCGCATTCGAATTAAACTTGATCTAACCGAGCGAACGGCAAATAAGAGAAAAATTTAACAAAAAGAATTATTAAAATTATGGTAATTATTACAAGTAACTAACGCTATTCTTTTATGTTCAACATTTTATGTCAATATTTAATTATTATCTATACTTAACGCTACCCTATGATATAACATTATAAATGATGAAAATGTATCTCCATGATATCATTCAACAATAATCCATTAACAATTCGCAATCCATTTACGCGCTTCCACAGAATCGGTGAATTAAAACTAATCTCAGTAACAATGAACGGTCCGTATCAATGGCAGTCTCTGACTTTTTCCCCCTTCGGTTTCCTGCCCCGCTTCTTGCCGGCGGTGACACCAGCCAGCACCATGGCGGCGCGTTTCGCGAGGCACGACTTGCAGAACCAGTCCTCCGTGGCGCCGGGCTCCTCAGTTATGCCCACGCACTCCCAATGGTACCAGCCGTCGCAGCCGTCACAACCGATCATGGGCGACCCGTTGTCCTGTCTGCCGCAAGCGGGACACACCCAAATTTTGTTCCCGTGCTCGTCCACGTAATAAGGGGTGGGGAGGGGCCCGCTGGGTTTCGCCGCGGGCGCCGCCGCGACCGTCTCCTCTGATATCGACGCCGCTTCCCCGTCGAAATTCTCCATTTGCCCTTTCTTCACGAGAGTTTTGAACATTATCCTTTTGTATTTCGAGTGGCTCGATGGTGGTCTGTTCTTCCGCGGTGGCGAGTTGCCCGCGGGAGGGGAAGTCGGTTGCTGCTCCACGTCAGCGATGTGGTTGTGCTTCGAGTGCTTTTGCTTCGGCGGCCTCGTGACTAGCGCGGAGATTTGCGCCAATTCCGGCGATCGGCTGTGCTCCCTCGAAACACTCTCCTCGTTTCGCGGCGGACTCTCTTCCTCCTCTTTCTTAACTACCGGCTTTATGTTCAGCTTGAAAATGTCCGGCGAACTAGGGGGCATCGGTGAGTTCGAATTCGAGGATCCCAGCTTCAGCGTAAGCTTCGGCACTAATCCGTCGGCGATCTTCTCTTTCTTTTTCTCCTTCTTCTCCTTCTTTATTCTATCCTTCTCCTCCTGCCTCTCGTCTTTGTCCCGCTTCTTTTCAGATTTTTCTTTGCTCTTATCTTTCTTATCCTTTTTCTTTTTAATTTTGATACCGTCTTTGTCCTTTTTCTCTTTTTTGTGGGACTTGTCCTTTTTCTTATCGATATTTTCAATGTCTCTTTCTTGCGTCGTGTCAGAGGTCGGCGTCTGGACCGTTTCAAGTTGAGTCTCCGGTTCTAGTTTCGAGATGACTGTAGGCGGCTCGGGGGTAGGCAGACGAGTTGGTTGGGGCGTTTCCCTTATTTCCTGTCTCACGGGATCAACTTTGGGAGGATTCAGTTCTATCGTTATATCAGGTTGTACAGGTGGCATTTTATACAGTGATTTATGGTCTTTTTGTGATTTCGATTTTGGTTTTTGTAATATATTTGGAATGGTTGGAGATTTGTGCTTACTGTCGTGCCGGTCTTTATCTCTATGCATGATTGGTGATTTATGAATTCCTCTATCTTCCTCATTATCTACAGGTATCACTTCTAGACTTGGGCGCCGTAGCATTGGAGGAATTTTCATTGACTGTGACCTCGATGTGTGTGGATAATTACCCATTTGCATGAGATGATTCGGAATTCCGGGGCCAAGACCACCAGGTAGAAAACTGGGACCAGGAATTAAACCTGGACCGCTCGCCCCTAAGGCAAAGGGGTTTGTTAATAAATTTGGTGATGGTAACCCCCTTAACGCAGGACTATTAGCTAGCCCTGCCAGAAAATCACTTCCCGGAATTAAACCAGGATTAGGTATTAACCCTGGACCAGGAATCAAGCCTCTCCCAGGAGGCATGGCAGGAAAAAATGGAAAACCCGGTGGCATCTGTGGTAATTTTGATTCATTCTTTGGCCTACTTGATTTGACTTTCACATTTCCTAGCTTCATTTTCTTTTTCTCCGCTTGCGCCATTTCAAATGCCAACTGTTGTTGCTGTTTTTTGAGCAATTTCGCCTCCAATTTAGCTGCTTTATCTTTTTTGTCCTTGTGTTTCTTCTCCTTTTTAATTTTTGGACTGACACTAGCTATGTCTTTGGAATACGGAAGTTGCAATGATTTATTAATTGATATACTAGGTCTGGGGTCTAGAGACGAGTTTTTAGCCGGCGCCATAGAGCTAATATCCATTGAGTCATCATCAATACTGATAACTTCATTGGCTTTTATATCTATTTCTTTTGACAAATCTAATGCACTATTATTATTGTTCACAACGGAATCATTGTCATTCACTCTAATATTTTCACTTGTATTATTATGTGTAGAATTTTGTAACCTTGAGATCAAAATGTCAGACTGTACCTTATCAAGAACAACCTCTGATGGAGGGGGAGCCTTATCTTCTTTACTTTTGTTCGATATCCTTTTAAATATATTAACTTTTGATCTATCCGGCTGAGATGCCAGTTTCTCCTCTTCTTCGATTATCTCCTTCTTAATTTCTGTTTCAGGTATAAGTGAATTAGTGGAAGATGAGTTTTTATTTACAGGAAGAGAGTTAGAAATAAGTGGAGATTTGGAAATAGGGATTTTCCTTGGTACAGGTATTGTATCTTCGCGAGAATTCATTGGTCTTGACACAAGTGGTGGAGTATCGGGTGGCTCCTGCTTAATAACTGGTCTGATAACCTCGGGGGCAGGAAGCACTGGTGTTTGACTTGGAACTGAAGGTGAATTGGAAGTGGGAGGGGTCACAGGTTTTGATGTTTGCGGCATAGCCTTTGGTGCAGGCATTGTCACATGATTATGGTGTGTTGGGTGCAAATTATCTTTATTCTTCAAAGGATGACCAGGAGGATACCTGTCCAATTTATTGCTATCCCTAGATTTACTACTTTCACCTTTATGACTTTTATCTTTTCTTTTACTTTTCATAATCTTACCATTTAACAACTTATTCTTTTTAGATTTCTTATCACTTTTATCTAGTGTTGGTGCTTTCATGGGATTTGAATGATGTGAATTGACTTTATGCTTGTCATGATGCTTTTCGGATACAATTGTGGGAGGTCTTGCCTCAGGCAATTTACCTTCACGGGCTGGTGACAAGAATCCAGACATGGTCATAATAACACTGCTGATTTCTCTTGTCCTCTCCTCTTCGTCCAACCTTAACCTCGGCCTTTTACTATTGGGTAAAGAGACAGGATCAATTGGCCTTTTAAATAAATCTTTTGGTTTCTCGGGACTATCTGTGACAGATATTTCAGGACTTGTGCATGTTGTATTACTTTCAATATGATCAATACCATTCTGCCTAATTTCAACGGTGCCAGCAACAGCCGGTGTGTCCCTTTCTTTTTCTGGGTACATGGGTGGAAGGTGTTCATGCACATGCATTGGCCTTGTAACCACTTCATGGCTGCCAGGTTTTAGAAAGTTCAAATTTGATTCTTTAGGTTTAGGAAATTTCTCTGTGCTGACAGGTGGTGGAACTGGGGGCACACTTCTTGTATACTCAGCTAACTCTGGCAAATGGACATGAAGATCACGAAACACTAATCCTAAGTCATGTAAATTTGGTTCAGTCCTATTGAATTGTTCGGCGTATCTGTTAGCTTGTGTTCCAAGAGTAGAAATGTACTTTTCCAATACATGCACCAGTATGTCAAGTGGCGTTGAGTTTATACCGTTCCATCCTATAGTTTGGCATATTTGCGCAACATTCCTTCGTAGTATCTCACGGGCGTACGCCTCTGACATAATGACACCAACAAAGTTATCTGGAACAAACGTATAAATTGAAATTATCACAACACAACAACAGCAAAATTGTTTGTATGAATTTTGTCTTCTAATTATAGCCCCATAACATGACAATTTGTTTGTTTCGGGTTTGATTAGATGGCTAAAACAGTAGATCTCATGATTTTTATACCTGCAAGTGTCTAGTACTACAGAGACGATGTTCCGAACAGGTGAAAACTTCACGTTTGGAACACACATGTATGCTCGCTATAATTTTTGTATTTCACGGATAAATTATTGTAATACATAAACTGGTTATAATGCAAAATAATGAAGTGTTTACGTAAAAACTTCTCAGCATTCTACAAACACAGTGCCCCGTGCGCCATGATTGCATTTTGGGTTGTCAATGTGCAGTGTTGCATGTATATAATAAATAAAATGGCGGTCTAATATGAATGCGTTCAAAAAACCTGCAAAATATTTAAAAGTTTAAATACAATATAAAATAATTTAAAACATGAATTAGAATCATGAATTTATAAAATTTTATACCTTTTTTACTAAAAATCTTTAAAATATATACATTTCACTTCTAATTATTCAGGCCCATTCTTTAAAAAATATCACAAACATATTTTAAGAGTTAATGCAATTTTTTATTGTAAAACTTGTTTGAAAAACTATATTTGAAATTGTATGTATTATATCCATACATACAATTTCAAATATAGTTTTTCAAACAAGTAGTAAAAAAAGTAGTATATCTAGGGATAGTAAAAAGATGCACCAAGCATTGCTTGAGATGCAAAAAATCAGTGTAGGCCTCGAAATTTTCGTCGGTGTGGCAATAAGCCGTTTAACTTAGTGGCTAAAGACAAGCCAGGGCGCTAATCCGGCGACAGACTGTTCATCTCTTTTTCAATAATTTTAAAGTTATTGTTTATGTCTAATAAGAATAATTTAATCTAGTAATGCTGTTTACTTATGGCTCTGGAGAGAAAAACCAAGCTGGTGCACGTGCGACGAAGCCATCCATTACACTGCAACTCTGTGGCCTTACCCAAATCAGAGAAAGTAATCTGATTGAAATTGAGATATAATTTTTTTTCATAGAACGATAGCTGTATGCTATCGTTCTAGGAAAATTAATGTAACAATTATTAATGAAGATTAAAAATTTAATTACATAAATTCAAGATTACGACATATAGGTAATTAATTAACCAAAAACTAATTACGGAAAAAAATAATAATATATAATTACTTAATTCGCCATCAATCGGACGCAGATTTGCTATTAAAATAATAACATCACTTAGTAACACGTAAACGATCCAAAAATGACCTTGCACACACCTTAGGTTGGCTGAATAAATTAATTGAAGGAAGCTTTTAGTGTCGGTGGTAACTGAAAAGGCCTTTACAGGTCCACCGGACTTGAGGTGGCCGGGCGCTCGGGGCACCTAGCCTATGGTGACTAAGCTCGAGGGCTACCGAGGGAGCCTTGGCTCGGAGCGTCAAGCTATTATTATTATTCTTATCGGTTTGGGATGCCACCTAGCTCATAGGGCGCTTTGGCGGACGTTCCAGGGAGTAAAGGATCCGTCTAGAAATTTTGACAGAGTTGACGATTTTGAAAAAGTTGACGGTTCAACAAGTAGCTATCACCGGTAGGCAAATGAGGAGAGGCCTTGCTTAGATGACGCTGGGGCTGGGTACGGAGGGATTTTTCTGGTTTTTAATAATCATCATAACCTAATCAAACGATGTTATTTCAGCGGAAGTCCGTTAGTGGAACTGTTTCTACTTTCTCGTTGTCAGTAAGGCTTTCAGTCTTTCCGTCTGGCTTTTTAATTTTTTCAAACGGGTCAGAGACTTCATTATTACAATTGTCACCTCCTACCCGAAGGCATTGTGTAATGGTATGATATCCGCCGCAGAGTCGTCAATCCGATATCAGTCGAAAAAAAAAATCATAACCACCTGTCCCTTAAAATTACAATAGATATCACCTTTTTTTATTCGTACAACACTTTCAAAAACGTTTGACACTTTGTCAAACAAAACCGCAAATGGGTATTTGACGATGTGCTTTTTGTAGATAGAATTTCGTATTTCACAACTTTTATACATGAAAATCGACTGGACTATCCAAACAATTTTAAAATATATTACAGTATTAATAAAATTGAAACTTTATGATTTCAAATCGGACTTTATCTGGACCTTTGGTTTTGTCCTCCAATCGAAGTCTTGTATTAATCATAAAAATATACCGTATAAGGTCAACTATTTCTTGTATTTTTCGTAAATATAGCAACAGTTCCTGATATAAGAAATGACAACATCTTCTGAAGATGTATTGTTGAGCGTGGGATATGTAAGGTATAAGAAGGGAGATGGGACTTTATATGTGATGAATCAGAGATTAGCTTGGATGCTGGAGAATCGGGATACTGTTGCTGTATCTCACAAATATGCTGATATTAAAAGTAAGTCGTATTGTACTTTATGGATAATATGCATTTATTATATGTTCTGGAAATGACAGATATACAAAAGACATGCTTCAGCTACAAAAGCATAAAATCCCTAAATGTTTAAAACTATTGATAATGCCTTTTTATGTCCATTTTTGCAAAACTTTTTTTTCAATTAGTGAAAATGCTAATAGGGTTACCTGCAGTTAAAATGATCCGTGTAAATCCTGGCGTAATGTTGGCATAATGGTGATAAACACCATTAGAACATCATGGCATTATTATAACTAGCCTTTTCTTTATTAAATTTATGACACAACTTTAAACATCGTGAATTTTTTATGATGAAATCAGTGTCAAACTGTTTTCATAAAGCCCATGTTTATAGTTAAACGAATTAAGTAATTAATTAATTCTTCTTTTATTTTCGAACATTAATGTGTTTTTACAATAAATATTTTTGTTTCTAGCTCAAAAAATATCACCAGCTGGAAAGCCAAAGGTTCAACTTCAAGTGGTGTTGCATGATGGTACATGTTCGACATTCCACTTTGTCAACCCTGCCGGTGCCGAGGCTCAGGCGAAAGACCGGGACCAGGTTAAATCATTGTTACAAAACCTACTGCCTAAGTTCAAAAGACAGATCGATGGAGAGCTTGAGATGAAATCAAGGTAAGTTATAATTTTTATTTTTATTAAAAGGTTTTTTACATACACAAACATAATTATTGTTATAATGTAATATATAATTTTTATCATGCACAAATCGTTTTCACTTTTTAAATACCCATGTTTCTAAACACTTTACACCACCTCTGGTCTCCCAATTTTTATTTTTATTTTCTGACATTTTTTGACAATTTTTATTTTCTGATGTAAGTAGTTTTTTTTATTAATTTTGTTCCTGTTTGCAAACTCAAACTTTATGCAAATCTTACAAAATGTTTGGAGGTTTTGAAAAATGACATTTATTATTAGTCTTATAATATATAAATTTTAGATTGCTGTCTCTGCATCCCACATTAAAGCATTTATATGAAGATTTAGTGATATCGAAAGTTATAAGCAGTGAAGAATACTGGAACACGCCAACATTGAAACATTATACCGATTCCAGTAATATAAAGCAAGAAGCCGGTAAGTTGTATTCAAGTCAAGAGATATATTTTAAGAATAATATTTAATGCCAGCTCAATAAAACTTTGGTCTTTTGGCTACCATACCCATAGTTGTACTATTGACAATTTCCTTTTTTTTTATCCTTTTATTAACATCACCTAATTTTTTATCAAATTTCATCACAAGGGAATACTGTCCTTACTACTAATGTGCTATAAAACAGTTTTTTTTTCGTATTCAGGTGTATCTGGTGCATTTCTGGCTGACATACAACCTCAAACAGACGGGTGTAATGGACTTAAGTATAATCTTACTCAAGATATAATAGATGCAATATTTAAAACATATCCTGCCGTTAGAAAGAAACATATTGATTATGTGCCTAATAAGATGACAGAAGCGGAGTTTTGGACAAAGTTCTTTCAATCACATTATTTTCATAGGTAAATATTATAGGTTTAATATGATAATTTTGAATATGCATGTTTTTCTTCTTTTAGGAGGCAAGCAAGCTGGCGGTTTATCTGATGTTAAGTGATAACTGCCGCGCATGGACCTTTGCAACACCTAGGGGTAGGGTTCAACACCTTCTAATAAAGCCAGCTACCTCATAAAACAACCGCAGAAGTATAACATTTTCACTACACGCCAATCTTTTGTGTGGTTGTGGTAATTCCATGGATGGACCTGCCCATTCGTACAACAGCAAACTGTTGCGTGGCCTTACCCCATACTATAAACATTTTAATAATACAAGAAATATATCTCTTAGTTAGTTTTTTTTTTGTTAGTTTAGTAGTTAGTGCAGTTTTTCTGATACTTATTAGGGAGTCATTCAAATGAAATACATGACAAATTATTACTTTAGTTAAATTTCTACCCACTTACTCTTTTAATTAAACTATATTTAAAATATTTGAGGAAACGCTGTGCAACATTTCTCTCCTACTTTTCACTTTTAAATAAGTTCTTTGTGAAGTTTTTGTTTGTGACAAATTATTTTTCCTCGTAATATGTAGCTACATAATTTAAAAAAATAATTTGTAAATCTGTATGTAATCTGTATATTTCACATTCTTGTTATTTTTTTTATAATAAGTATGTATTTAAATTTAAAAGCTTTTTTATAGTGCTAATCTCTGCACTTAAGATTGAACATTAAATTTGAACATTAAAACATGTAGAAAATTACGAAAATTTTTAATAAGTATGTATTCTACATACCCTTCATGAACTTGCCAATTAAAGCTATTGTCATTATATGAAACTCATTACCTATGTTATGAAGAGGTACAATTATATCTTAATATAATAAATAACTTCTTTATCTTACAGAGATAGAATAGCATCGTCATCGAGTAAGGACTTGTTCGGTGAGTGTGCAAAGTTGGACGATCAAGCCATCGCATCAGCTATGAAGCACACAACATTAGATCTCACAGTATGTGTTGTTAACCTCATAATAAACAGTACTACATATTATCAGAACACTGAATATTATTTATCAATTTTGTTGTAAAACTTAAAATTTTACATATGAGTTTTATTATCGAGAAAATAATTATAATACTCCATCATGTAATTAAGATAACACAAGACCTAAAGGTTTTATATCCTTCGAATGCTGATGGAATGATTTTTTTATTTATTAATAGGCAAAAATGTATTAACAAACACAAATTATATATAAGCAGGACATGTTTATCGCTTATGTATATAAAAAAGTTTTTCGTTGTTGTGAATAATAATTTCCATTTACTCCAGGTGGACCTCCCACAATTTATAGAGCCAGTACCCCTTTTGCCCACTGAAGATGAAGCACCACACGATAAAGAGAGAGGCGATAGCACCTCCATTCATCGAAATATGATTAAAAGGTTCAACCAACACTCTATTATGGTGAGTTTTTATTTACTAATCATTACCAACATTACTTAAAAAAGTCATGTCCGTTGTATGGGAGCCCCACTTAAATATATTTTTATGCTGTTTTTTAGTATTTGTTATTATAGTGGCAATATATTGTCTGTGAAAATTTCAACTGTCTAACTATCACAGTACAGACTAGCGACAGACGGACGGACAGACAGACAGACTGTGGATTCGTAGTAACTAGAGTAAAAGGGGACCCCTGGTTTACTCTGTGGGTGCGGAACCCCCTAAAAACATTTTTTGTTTCTGCCAAACTGTTTCTGCTTAACTCTTTGCTTGTTTATTGCATAATTATAGCATTTTTATTTTATGTAGAAGAGGTTGGATAGTATAGTCCTAATGACAACTGCGACCTAGAAACATACATATTTTTTTTAATTCCACATTCAAATCCAAAACAATTATCTGTGTGTCACAAAAATAGTTGTCTAGTGTGGGAATCGAACCCACGACCCCTGGCGCCGTAGCCTATACCTTGGCAACTGCATCAAAGATACATCAGGTAAAAAAAATATACAGGGAGGCTTTTTTAAAGGTGCCCAAATTTACACAGGAGGTTCAGACTCGATAGTATAATCGTTTATTGAAATAAAAACAAACTTTTTTTTCAAAAGTCATTCATAAATGCGTCATATACTTTTGAAACGAACTTGTGTGCGTGTTAGTTATAAATGATCGCGCGTAAAATTTAAATGAGTTGCGTATAAATCAACCACTTTTTGAGATAAGTTCAAATGAATGTAATTAATTACTTACGAGTGATTTTAAATATTTATCATTTTTTATATAACATTATTTATGTATAGAATTTTATTTAAAAAAATGGATACACTTAGAAAAGCCTCCTTGTATATTCTTTGAAATTAAGTTCAACTACAAAGAATTATTGTTGTTTCAGGTGCTAAAAGCTAGTCATAAAACAAACTCTAGTAGTAGTAATAGTGGTAATAGTAGTATTAAAACAACAAACAATAATAACAAAGTCCTAGAGAATGGTGTGAAAGAGATTAATGGAGTAGTGGAGAAGAGGCCGGCAGAAGAGAAGAGCAGTACCGAGCCGGTTGAGAAGAAAAAAAGGATATTAGAGAAGATACATTATGAAGATTTAGAAGATAAGAGTGGAAATGAGGATGCACAGGAATTAAAATTATCAAAAGTGAGTGTGGGACTGAATTAAAATAATTTTGGTTTGATGACATTTTGTGATAACTTGATAGAAATTATTTTCCTTTTTATAAACCCCTCCCTATTGATAATGAAGATACATTGCCATATTATTATGTTAATAGTTCATATTTTATTTTATAGGTAGAAAGGTATTTATTAGGACCCTCTTCGCAAGTTTGCCAAACCATCAACACAACCAACCCACCGCCATTATCAGCTCTCGCGTCGATATGTCAGGTGAGTCTTGATTTTTACTCGGCTAATATAGTATAATCCGGTTAAGTACCATAGCCTCACAGAAAATCGAAGTGGAATGGAAGTAAAATTATACTGATTCTTTTAACGAGTGAGGTAACCTCAGCTCATTTTTATATACTAACTTAGGTGAGTAGTATATGTCTTTGGGTGGCAGTTAATTATTTAACATCAGGTGAACCAATTAACAATTTCATCGGCGCCGGCACTTGAATTTGATCTCGGGTCGCGATAAAAGCGTTCGCCCGAACACTGAGCTATCATCGCTCTTTGATTTGAGTCACCACGTTACACTCGTATTATCCTAGAAGGTTCTTTTCACCATTCATGTTATGAGTAACTTGGACGTTGAGTCGATTACTTTTGTTCGCAATTAATAGGTTGTTATAGTTCGGAGTAGGGTAAGTTTGGTAGTACCCAAGCGGGGTAAGTGGGGTACTTCCGAATTGGGGTAAGTGGGGTGGTTCCGAAGTGGGGAAGGTGGGGTAGATCCGGAGTGGGGTGAGTGGAGTAGTTCTGAATAGGGTATAAGTGGAGTAGTTTCGAAGTGGGGAGGTTCGTAAGTGGGGTGTTTCCGAAGTGGGGTAGGTGGGGTAGATCCGGAGTGGGGTGAGTGGAGTAGTTCCGAATAGGGTGTTAGTGGAGTAGTTTCGAAGTGGGGTGGTTCGTAAGTAGGGTGTTTCCGAAGTGGGGAAGGTGGGGTGGTTCCGAAGTGGGGCAAGTGGGGTGGTCCCGAAGCGGGATAAGTGGGGTTGTCTGACGATTCGTGCAGGCGTGGAGCAGCGGCCAGCAGTGCGCGCGCCCGTTCAGGGTGAGCGCCGGCGCGGCGGTCGGGGCGCTCGGCGAGCTGAGCCCCGGCGGGGCGCTGATGCGCCACCAGCACGCGGCCAGCATGGCGCGTGAGTCCCTTTTTTTGTTATGGATTCGATAGTGAGTTTATCGCTTTGCCTCTCTTAACGTACCACAGACCTAACAGCATAATTTTTGTATTATACAAAGTGATTTTATTATATATATAAAATCACACTGTATATAGATGACCTGTATATATATATGTATCACCTGTATATAGATGACCTGTATATATATATATATATATAACACCCTGTATATGATAGACACTATACAGCATATGCAGAATTTGATTCTAAATCTTGTGACCTAATTTTTTTTTCAAAGATTATTTTAATTTTTTTTTTCGGCTTCTGGTTAACGCACTCAGATGCTCTTGTCAACTGAACTGATCGAAATCTTTTTGATAATCCATCTATTAAACTCTCATTTCAAGACCAGATCGTGTAATATTCAGATGAAAAAAAAATATCCCGCTCAGTTTCTTCTTAGTTATTCTGAGATCAGTGGCTTTCCTTTTTCGAACCGGTTGTAGTAGAATTTTACACAATCAATAAGCAAGTGTGACGCTTTTAAATATTGAATATAGACATTTGAATTCGACCCTACTGTGGTAGTGCCACGTAACAGTATACGCTGTAGAACAGATACATTTTTCACATTGAAAAAAAAAAAACAATGGTTAGGGCCGTCCGGGGAAGTACTACGACCTCACAGAAAACGCTAGCTTGCCGGCTCGTCCAATAAAAAGTCCGGCGGCATTCGTCTCCGCGGACACGTCATCGCCCCCCCCCCCCCCCCCCCCGTGACGTCACCCCCCCCCCCCCTCCTCCGCGTGACGTCCGTTTCGCCCCGCGTGCAGAGCTGATACCGGCGGACGTGAAGGGCGAACTGCACCGGCTGTATCTCTCGTGCGGCGAGCTGCTGCGCGAGCTGTGGCGGTGCTTCCCGCAGCCGGGCACCGCCGACGGCGACGAGGCGGCCGCCAGGGCGGACAGGTTCTACGAGGCGCTGCTCAGGTTCAGGAACGTCAAGCTGCGCCCCTTCGAGGTGGGTCCCAGGCTGGCCGGGGTTCCCCAGTCTGCGGGCAAACGGCCGGACGGGGGGTCCCCCGCGCGGTGAGAGTCCGCCGTCTGTCCGCCAGGCCGTGATAGGTGGACGGTTGAGTTTTCACAGATTTTGTATTCCTGTTGCCGCTACAGCGAGGGACACTAAAAAACGCCTTTGGCGGATTTAAAGTTTTTTTATGGTGCTAATCACCGCACTTGAGATTAAAAACTAAATGCTGAAAACAGTGTAGAGAAAATACGTTAAGGTTTTCGTCGGTGTGGCAATTAACGTTTAGCTTTGTGGCTACAAGGTTTAACACCTTTTGGTGTTTTACCCTTTGGGTGCGCAACCTTATAAAAACTATATTGACGACGCTACCAGTTTATTAGCATTACTTTTAATATTGTTCAGTTCTATATTCCCTATTGCATTGGTGATTGCAGTGATTCATCCAATAAAATTACGTAAATAATGTATAACAGTCTGTTATCCCTAGGGTTACTCCCCATTAATAAAATGTTTTAAACGCAGGAGAAGATGCTGCGGGATTTAACGCCACTCGCGACAACCCTAACAAAACACATGAACCAAATGATCGACACGGCGTGCGCTAAGTACGCCGTTTGGCAACAGAGGCGAGCGAAACTTCGGTAGTAATAAGTTAAACACTCAAAATAGGAACATATTCTCATTTGAATAGAGTACATATTTGGATGCCTTAAAACGAGTTTGTTAGACGCGAGGGAAATCGTAATCGACCCTACGCGCAACCAATGTTTAGCATCACAGGAAAATGGCACTTGTTACAAGCGTTTGCGATACATATTTATCTGAAGTCTAAAATTGAATATCTGTAGAAGTGTTATGCGAAGGAAAATTAAAGCTTATGTTTAACTTTATAAGTTTCAATTTCTTTTAGCGTCCAAATATCGATAGGGTGTCATACCGTTGAATAAAGACAACAAACAATACTGGAGTTTAATGTTTAGTTCATAAGATATATTATCGAATGTGGCACAAGAAACGGAAGTCGGTTGCGTCGAATATAAGAATTAATATGTAAATTACAAGGTTTTGTATGTATTAAATATGATATTAGCGTTAAGACCATTGAACTATAATGGCGTATAGCCTCTTAAGAGCGCTCAGCTTGAAGCCAAAATATACCTTATTACTGTTGAGTAAAACTGTTTTCGCATTCATTTAAAAACCAAATAATAAAAGCCGATTGTGGAACCATGCATTGCCAGTTTTAGGCAGAAACATAAAACTGAAAGAAAAAACATCTTTTTTAGTACTGTAAAATTCACAAGTAATTATTTTTTCATCGTTAGTATTAAAAATTACTTTTGAATATTAGACGTGCCTTTAAAGGTTTTTTGATGTGTCTTTTCTTTTCTAAAAAACCTCAGATACAGTATCTTTTTTTGCGAGAATATGCAAAATTGTGAGTGTAATACGATAATTTTATCCGTGATTGTATTGATTATGATTTATTTTTATGGGAATATATTCCAATCCATTGGTTTTCAACAATATTGGTTTTAGATAACATGTGTGAGTATGGCTTTATTTTTTTTTACTCAAATTTCGTATAACCCATTCGTTAACTTTGTAATAAAAGTAATTATTAATCAAATTTTGGTTAAGTACAATATTCACCAGTATTTGATCTTGTCAGTCTAGAAAATGAAATGAAAATAGAAAATAGGCAGTCGAATTATTTCAGTTTTAAATTCTACTATTGATTTACAGATTGTTCAAAAAAATATATGTTTAAAATTGTATCGAACTGAAAAACAAAATTCGTTCTCGTGCGATCTGAGAAGAGACATATAGATTTTTTAAATATCGATAAGCCCCATGTACACCATATTATAGCATTTTGTTTTATTGTTTTAAAAAAAAACGAGCACAAAAATACCTCTACAAGAACTGCAATTCTTGTAACAGTCAACATATCGCTTCATAATTTTTTTACAACTTGTGTTTAGTTGAAATATGCATTTAACCTTTTACGTACGAGCCATTATTATTATAATTATTTAAGGCTTCAAAGAATGAATAATATCGTGAAGTGCTTGAAGCGTGCAGAATATGAAATTTACACTTTATAAAAGATTGATTGTATCGAATTTGTAACGAGAATGTTGAATTTATTTATAATTTTGACAGATGCAGAACAGAGTATCGTAATCGTTTGCGATTTGCGTCGCTTCGAATGTCAATTGTAATAGAATCACACAGAGCTGTTATAACCGAGCTTTTAATTGTTACTCGATATTTATTTAACATGAACTTTATGTATTAATTAAACTTAATAACAACTTTTGGGGTGTGCGCAAAACGAAAAATAAACAGAGGTGACTAATCATAACATTTCACGTTTGCTAGAGGAGTAATCGATCGACAATAATCGTTTAGTTTTAAGTGAAAGTCAAAATTTCTCATGTTACCATTTTGGACGAGTTTAGGTTTAATTTTAGTATTTCTAAATTAATGTTTATTTTCCTTAAAAATTTTATTTCTAATCCGAATAGCAATAAAATAATTCGTTTAAACGCAAAATTATTTGGTAGGATGGTGGTTTTCTTATTTGTACTACTTTCGTGAGCGACTCTTTAAGTGAAAACAATAAATTGTAACAAATCTAATTCAATTCGTAAAGTATCGTTTTAATTTATTAATTAAACAGGTAATCGAAGAATTTATACGTGTGATCTTATCCTTAATGTAACAAACAGCTTGCGGAAGTGAATAATTATTTTCTAACTGACCACCTTGTTAGGGGTGAAAGAAAATTATAAATAAATGTCTAAAATTATATATTGATATTGCCGTGGTGACACAATCGCTTTTTTCTTTGTGAGTAATTGATTCGTAGAATAATTTAGGTTCTTTTATGTTTATATTCTTTCTATAATTTAGTTTCTCACTTTTCAGGTCGGACTTTAAATCGATTTCCACAATAACAATTTCAATTGATAGACAATTCGATTATCCATTTTTACCATTGTCTTACAGTAGACATTCTCAAAGATTTTATACAAAATCTTGCTAAAATAGGTAATGATATCTAAATGTGAAGCACCGATCTGGAGACTGTATAACCCATTATACGTACTGTATCACCCAGGATCACTTAAAATCATTAATTTGGAAGGAATTTTGGGTCCTACAAAGCATAAATGTATTTTAATGTCATGGTTTTTTATATCCTCTATCTAGATCGATCCAAAGTACAGTAATTTTCCTCTAACACAGCTCTAATTCTTACAGCAGTATTCTCTGATTCTCTGCTTAAAAAAAGATTGTCTTTCACAAGAACTTTTTTCCCATCGCCGAGAACGTTATAGAACCTAAATGGAATTATAAAATAAATGCTGTACCGCTCTATTAAGATAATGCAGTCACAATTCCGAAGTTTTGCTCATAATTATATTCTGTTTCGTACCCTTACTCCCTCTTCAGATCCTGAATTAATTTCCTCTTACCAATGGGCCTTATATATGGCTTAATTTTTTATGGTTTATTTACGATAACGGAAAATGTTACAATATTATTTTATTAAAAAAAAAATATAGTAAAATATTTACTGCATTTAATGCAGTAAGTAATTGGCTTTTTTGTTTAAAAATTTTTACTCCAAACTTTCCACCTGTATTTTTATCGTCATATTTTCGTTTTAGACACGAGTGATTGTTACAATTTCTAGGCCAAAAATTTACGTCAACGCAATTTTCTTTCCTCTAATGAATAAAAACACCGTTTGATGTGTTACTAAGTGAGCCATCAGCCAATTAAGACTTATATCATTCGAATTTAAATTTTATATATCTATTATTCTTTTACCATTGAATATTGTTCCCGATCGCAAGCCTTAGAGATCTCCGGTTCATTATAACGCAATGTTCCTCGCGCGTCTATTAGTTAGTTTGTACTGTCTGTAAGTTTATTTTTATTAGTATATTTGTATTTAAACCGTTCGTTAACGGATTGCAAGTTGTTCGTTTTAATTCGTGTAATTACTGTTATGTGCGTAATAAACAATATTTTTTTCAAAGATCTATGCACTCTTATTTTCTACTCCACTACCCTTACCTACGGCGTTGTTTAATGGATTCGAGATAAATTTAAAAAAATACAACCGAGGTAAGTTACACAAAGTATATCGAGTAAAGTGGTAAGTTGTTTGTGGTTTGTAATAAATGTTGTAGGGCCACGCAACATTCTTCCCTGTTGCACAAAGAGTATTTCAGGTATATAAAAGAAGACTTTTATACAGCGTGTCTGTTTTGTCACTTTTAAATTCATTCAACCCATTCATTTGCTTTGTGACCTTTACAAATGAACTTTACGTTACGCTTTTATAGGTTAGGGTGTTCTAAAATTCTTTGTTTTGGAAAATTTCATAACTCTGTAAATATTGATGTTTAAAGAATTTAAATGTTTAATACAACTTTAAAAAGTTATCCCCTATATGTGTGTTCATTAATTGTCGCGATGGTAACGACACGCTGTATATCTGAAATATCTTTTATATATCTGCTGTAGCATGGACCGTTACGAGCCGTGATAGCTCAGTATCCGGGCGCTCGCCTTTAATTCAATATACTCGAGCAACCTGAGTTCGATCCCCGGTGCCGGCACCAATGAAGTTTTTAACTTTAAGTGCTGACTTATCAAGTGCTCCGCGGTGAAGGAAAACATCGTGAGGAAACCTGCATATTTTCGAAATAATAACAAAAAAAAAGAAATATTTCGAAGATATGTGAAGTCCGCCAATCCGCAGTGAAGCCGCGTGGTGGACTATGCCCTGATACCCTCTGTATAGAGGAGGCCTTTGCCCAGCAGTGGGACATGTATAGGCTGTTACTTTATTGCATGAATGGGCAAGTACCACGACCTCACTGAATACGACGTGATGTAGGAGTGTCATAATTCTGCATTTATTACTCTGGTCAGTGAGGTCGTCAGGGCGCACTTTATTTAAAGGTGACAATGCATCTGCAAAAATACGGGTGTTGGACATGTTCATGGCCGGCGGTTATCGCTTAACATCTGGTTAACCACCAGCTAACGTCAAATAAAAAAAGGTTTACAGAACGATTTTCTGTAATTTTTTTAAAGCCTTATTTAAATTATTTTCAGTCGCCCTCGAAAGTTCATTTACGTGATAAGTAGAGTATTATTACGGTTTTAGACAGTTTGGGGGGCTATTTTTCTATTAAATGCGGGTTAGTACATCAGGGCAGGGCATATTGGAATTTGGAAATTGAAAAAACTGCGGATACTTTGTCTACGTACGTATCTGTTAAGCTTTAACACGTATCATTTAAACAGTAGTGGGTTATTTAGTATTACACAAGAAAAATAACACATTACTAGATGGCTAATGATAATTATATGAAACATTTTGACGACTCAATAGGCGTAGTGGATAGTGACCCTGTCTGTTGCGCTAAAGGGTGTGGGTTTCGTTCCCCACTACAAGAAAAATAGTGTGATGAATATACTATACATAGTGTTTTTCTAGTGTATGGGTGCTTATACGGCGTGTTTGTACCACCGCGACAATAAATGAACACACATATAGAGGATAACTTTTTAAAATTGTATTAAAGATTTACATTCTTTAAACATCAATATTTACCGAGTTATCAAATTTTCCAAAACAAAGAATTCTAGAACATCCTTACGTAAAAAAATGTAAAGTTCAGTCGTAAAGGTCACAAAGCATATGATATGAGTGGGTTGAATGAATTTAAAAGAGACAAAACATACTGTTAGAAGGAGAGGCTTGTAATGCGGCGCTGTGGCAACGAATGAAAAATTCTCTGAGTGTATGAATCAGTTAGTTGTAGTTGTATAGGATGTTACAAATTTTGTTTTCTTTTTTACTTAATTAATATATTTGAAAAATATTTTTTTAATTATGGATTTTTTTAACGTTAATATTTTTTATGATTATTGGCAAGTAGCGTTAGACGTGTGTTCATTTATTATCGCGGTGGTAAAGACACGCTGTATATCTATAATGTAGGTATTTATTTACAAAAGAAGAGTACTTTTAAGTATGTTTATCAGTTTCCTAGTATCCATATCCAGCTTTGTTTAGTTTGATACTTTGTGTAAAAATATGTCCCGAATATTTATTTGCATGTCAATTCTCATGACGGCAAACCCATATTCGTAATCTGAGTTTTCAATAAAAATGTCATTGTTTTATAAGATTCTTTACTCTGTTGAGATATTGCAAAATAACAAAACAAATCCTAATATTAGCTGAGCTTTAATTGTGCCTTATTACCATTAAGTGTCGTTGGCGTCTAACCAGTCTGTCTTATAGTCTCGTATCATCTTCCATCGTACTGCGTATAAAACATAGATAATGAAATAAAATGAGGAAGAATATATATTAGGGGTAAAGAAAACACAGATGACTTTTTTTATAGAATATTTAAAGATTGTTATATTTAAACTTGAATATAAAGGTTGCCCAATTAAAGCAGATTTACATGTTTACCTGGAATGTTTCATGATCAATTTATGAGCCAGATTTTGTTGTAACTGCTGATAGAAGTATAGAAACAGCTTTACAAAGGTAGGATATATTTTATTTAATACATTAGTGTTCATGCACATTCCGTTCAAATAGAAATAATATGCTCCATGCCATAATTATGTTAAAAACCTACTCTCATATAGACGGAAAACATATAATGCTAATTAATACAATATTGTATATATTAAAAATGTATAGATCTGGAACCTATTGTATTCTTTAAAATAATCAAGTAGTTTTTTTCTTCAGATACATTTATTGTGTGATATAGTAATACTTAAATATTACAGAGGCATTAAATAATACTTATTTGCATAATAAAAGACAACACAATGAATAAATATATTAACTATTTAGTCTACCTTGTATATAAAGTTATTAAGCAATATGAGATAGCATAGTGGCATTATTTACAATATAAAACAATGTACAAAATAAAATTCGATACAATAGTTAGTGCCTTCTCACTTAGGGCAATTATTTCTAAAGAGAACTAGTGATTTACTATTTTTATGTTATATTGGTGTAATAAACTTAAGTAAAATGAATAAACACACTAGATAAATATAATTTACACTATACCTTATCTTGTTGAAAACATTTCCAGTACAAGTAGTGGCAAACAAAGTCTATACAAGCAAATAAAAATAAACTATGTTTGTTTCTTAAGTCCAGAGTGAATTTTCACTGAACAAAAACAAATGGGAATATATTTTTCATTTAATACAGTTGGTAACGCAAAATTGTATAATGGGAGTTATTTATTAGACCATATATTGTTATGTTTTTTCTTCTGATCAGATTTAAGTCCGTAGTACAATTTTACTTGTTACGAATTCTAAATTGTATAAATATAAGATATGACTTTTGTCCGAAAACTAAAGTTTTAAACATGAAGTCAATCATACAATATAACATGATCGGAAATCAAAATATAACAGATGGCAAAATTTAAAACAAAAACTGCTAAATGAACAAACTAAAAATAAAGCTTTAGGCCTCTACAACTCAAGTATAAATTTTGATAGAAGCAGTCTTTGCATTTTCTTTATACAATAATCAGTTGGCTGTCATGTGGAAAAAAATAATATTACTTTAAATCTCAAAACCTAATTCAAAATAAAAATCCTATATAATTTACAGATAAAACATTATATATCAATATTTAGCATACATAATCATGTGAATGTTATTTATATGTCTTAAAAACAAATACAATATTTATAACAAATTCAAACAACATGTATATTTGTTCAATTACTTGGAACAAGCGTAGTGTATATTGTCATTTTCCAAAACATCCATTTTGAACAAGGGAAAACCTTTTTTAAAACATTGGAGGCATTTTTGTGCAATTTTTCAAGAACTAATTTATTGTTCAAAATCATATCTCATTCATAATTAGGATAACCGAGAAACCTATTTTACAAAAACAAATACTGTCTGTGTGTTAGTGTGTATCAACTTAAAAAAGATAGTGGCAAATAAGGCATTATGTGACAAATAAAAACTGACATAAAACACATGTTACAAATTATAAATATACAATAGTCTTTATGTAACTTAAAGCTATATGCATAATATATTATGTGTACATAGAAAATTAACTATGTTTATAATCTATATTCCCTCTTCATGTAGTCTGTAGAAAATATAACAGATACAGAAGAAGGTGAATTGAAGGTGTATATAATAATTAGCAACACTGTTCTAATATTGAAGTTGTCTTGTGACTATAACAGTCAATACAGTTGAAAATTAAAGCGGTAAGTGCAACTGCTTCATGTTAAATGTAAGTAAGGTTTTAATACCAAAACTAACACAGATTTAATATTTGCTACAAGATGGTTTACTGTTGGTAATTTTTCCACTTTCGTAATGAATGGCCCAAGTATAATTGAATTTATTTATATTACCATTAACAATGTGGACTATCTTATGCAATTTTTTCCATCTTCATATCTTTCTCATAATTGGGTAGTTTCATGGGTTACTATGTTATACCATTTTGCAAGAACACTCAATAAACAAATTTCAAACAAGATAATGGAACAATTATTAACAATGGGTTAAACAAATCTCGCCCCAAGCAGGCATTGAATTTTAATAACTAAAGCTTGCCAACAGATATAAAGGCGTTTTTTGTGTGAGAAGGTGGCAACCGAGTCGGCGGTTCACCTGATGTTAAGTGATAACCGCCGTCCGTGGACATTTGCAACACCCATAGGATACCAAAAACTTTGCCACCTTTTAACAAAGTGGACGCCGGCTACCTCATTCACCAGACGAAACCCAGTATTATATGTATAAATGAAAAATGCAATGAAAGCACAGAAACACTTACCGCTGAAACTTCTTAGGTCTCCACTACAATATGCCTATCTGAAGGCTTTGACTATCCACACAATCAATATGATGCCTATGATTATACCAATCAGTATGAATATGAACATCTTCCTCCTATATCTCCTTTGGTACTCGGCAGCTTTGGCTAGCTCATCCACGCCAGCCTCAACACTAGAGCCGGCCGCTTCAATGTGGCTTTCCACGGTGTCTGTAAAAGTATTCATTCATTATAATTAACATGTTCAATAAAACTACGATTTTCACGATGGATGCTGCAAACATTTCACGTTAGACTCGCTTAGCGAGTCGCCAGCACTACAATATTAAAATCAAAAATATGTTTTTTCACATTATTAAGAGGTGGCAACGCATCTGCAACCCTACGTTTGTTGCAAATGTCCATGGGCAGGCGGTTATCATTTAACATCAGGTGAACCGCCAACTCGTTTGCCACTTTCTCACATAAAAAAAAAAAACATAGATGCTTGCTGTTCTTATGAAATGTCAAAATTTTACATAAAATTATAATAAAAAATATATTTATTCAAATAGACAATATAGATCAAATAAATATTAGCATTATGTAAGGGTTTTATGTTTATATCGGAACTAGAGATCGATGACTCGAAATATGTTGTTAAAGGCAATACATATTCAACATACATAATGTATGGTAAAGCCCAACCAAGCAATTCAAAAATCTAATTTGAAACCATGTCTGTTAATAGAACCGATGTTTGTGATACTTTCTGCTTTAGATTCATGCTATAAGTAGCATCCAAGCTAATGTTAATGTTTCGACGTCATTGTCTAATATTTAGTTATTTAAACTTTGAGATTGCAGTGAACTCGCCTAACAAGTTCATCGCATTGAAAAATGATCTTTTTCCTTCCAAATATAAAAAAGTTCTTTACAACAAAGACCACCATGTAAATGTTTAAATAACATCATATAATATTGTCTATACAATAATTTTGAACAGAATCTCACTGAACTTGACGCACAGGTACTGGATTAAAATAAATGTGGTTAAAAGTAACTCGCAAGGCGAGTTGGTGGCACTAACGTCTTACGACGATATTTCATTATATGAAATACAATAACTCTTTTCATTGCTATCATTATTAATTTCAAATATGTGTTAATAAAAAAATATTCATTCCAATCTAGTGCTCTACATCATAATATTGCAATTTTCTTTTTCGTGTTTTTCAGTAACATTCATTAATAAAGTTGTCCCCTACCACCTTTTTTTATATAATACTTTAACATCCCCATACACAACTATATAGCTACATGATATAAACCACCAAAGTGATGCATAAGTTGATCTAAAAGAAAATGTCACTAGAACATGATAGGTACATACAAGTTGAGAAAAAAAAATGCTCATTCAAAGTATTGGCATCACTCACCGACTGTCTGGGCTTGAGCGCTGACCATGTCAGCCAACTCCTGCATTATCTGGTTTACGTCTAGAACGTCCGCTTCGATTTTGTTCATGTACGCCTCCTTCTCCAGCAGCATGCTGGTTTCGAACTGCACCAGGCGGGCCTGGATCAGCAATCACCAATTAGGGCCTGCACTATTTGTACTACTTCCCATGAAATGCGTTTTATAAGTCCTCATTAAGCATCAATTACGAAATTTAAATTGTTTATAGTGCTAATCTTTGCACTTAAGATTGAACATTAAAATTGCGAAAAGATTGTCATTGCATTCGCGGCCTGACGCTCTTCGGCGAATGCCGAAGACGTGGGTTCGGATTCCCACAGCAGCGACAATCAATTACGAGTTTGGATGTTAACGAATTTCAATATACCCCGCTATATAGCTTTGTCTAGATTAAGAGAATAATATACCACTTTAAATTGTATATTTTATTGTAGATAATGTAATGTAGGCGCTACGGCATTCGAACCTGCGTCCTATACCAACTAAGCTTAGGCCGCTTAGCTTCAAATTCCCGCAGCGTCGAAAGTCGAAAAATGAAGACATTTTTTCGACGTTCATAGTATCTAGAAGATTCTTGCCCACCTGCGCCTGTTGGTTCGCCAGCAGTGTCGCCTCTTCATCATCAGCGATCGCCTGCTCTTCCATCGCCTGAGGGTCGTTCCTCACGCGCGGTTTCGATGGCATGTGCGCCGCCATCTTCTCCGATACTTGCTGCAACGGGACGGTCAGTATTTGAGAGTTGGATCTCTTCATCATCAATTCAGATAGGATTTTTTTCTGCCCAAAGACTAGTCAATGCTTTACTGCCATCTCACCTGATGGTAAGTGGAGATCTAAGATGACAAACATACTCGCGCAATGCCTTGCTTATCAAACTTGCTTTGAAAAAACTCACATTATAATGAGAACAATTTGATTTTACTGGTTATTATTGTTTATATTGATAGAATTGAGAGGCAACTAGGCCTAGGTGCCTAGTTGCCTTTCAATTCTATTATAGGATAGGATAGGTCCAATTTGAAGCCTAATTAGGGAAGCTTAGAAGTTGTCATGCGAGGGATTTAATGCCTGTTTTATATGCCCAGTCCCGGTATAAACGGAGCGAGAGTTTGTATGTATGCCAGGTCAGGTTATGGGGGGCGGCTCTGTGGCACAGTTGCAAAGGTATTGGCTTTGGAGCCGGGGTTTCGTGGGTTCAATTACCACATGAGACAACCATTGGGGAAATACCAGCTAGGATCATAGCAGCCCACCTTCTGCACCGCAGAGTAGTTGGCCAGGGCGTCCCTGAAGGCCTGCGTGAGCCTCTCCACCTGCAGCTTCTGCGGCTTATCGCCTCTCCTCACCACCACACCCAGCCGTTGGATGTCGCGCGCCGTCGACGAGACCGAGCGGTTCACGCTCTGCTGCGTGTCGTGGCTGAAATGTAACGTACTGTTTCGTACACGTTTACACACAACGTTCTCTATTCCCAAACTGAGCAACGCTTGTGCTTTAGGTAATAGAAAACTGGTAAATATACTATATAATATTACATAGACATTTGAAGAACACTTTAAAGCACAATGTTTTTCTAGTAGTGGGGATTGAACCCATACCCTCTGGCACCAGAGGCAGGTTCATTACTCCCCACACAAGTCGGGTCGTCATTCGAGAAATGGTGCGCGCAGACGTTCAGAATGCGAGTATAGAAAGTTCAGAGGTGGAAAGTGCCGAATGCTCATATGCGATTTGCTCAAGAGTGACTAAGATCAGAAAGTAAATACTCCGCTTTGCCAAAGTTCGGAGAGCAAGTGCTCAAATGTGATTAGCTCCAGAGTGATGAAGCAGAATGCAGCTCAGTTTCACTTATCCAATGTTCACTCGACGAAATATAAGAATATCAAGTAGAAATTATTTGAATAATAAAAAATTAGCTTTCCTTTAGTCTATTTACTTTCCATACTACATCTACATACCCCATGTTTGTTAGGTTTTGCTTGTGTGATTGTATATTAAACTGGGAGAGATGATAAATAAACAAACAAAATTAATGAAGAAAAAACATGCAGGCATAGGAAAAGGTTCAACCGGCATAAAAAATAGTATTTGTTGTAATACATATTATACATACATGTATATTTGGGCTCAGTGATATTATCTATTACAAGCATGATATTTTAAAAAGTATTGATATATTTACTTAAATGTACGCATATGTCATTATACAGCGTGTCGTTACCATCGCGACAATAAATGAACACACGTCTAACGCTACTTGGAAATAATCATAAAAAAATATTAACGTTAAACAAAATCCATAATTAAAAAAAAAATATTTTTCAAACAAACTAATTAAGTAAAAAAGAACCACAATTTGTAACATCCTATACAACTCGCGCCACAGCGTCGCATTACAAGCCTCTCCTTCTAACAGTATGTTTTGTCTCTTTTAAATTCATTCAACCCATTCATATGCTTTGTGACCTTTACAAATGAACTTTACGTTACGCTTTTATAGGTAAGGATGTTCTAAAATTCTTTGTTTTGGAAAATTTCATAACTCTGTAAATATTGATGTTTAAAGAATTTAAATGTTTATTACAACTTTAAAAAGTTATCCCCTATATGTGTGTTCATTTATTGTCGCGATGGTAACGACACGCTGTATACAGTAAACACTCGAACAAATTATAAAATACCCATCTGAACACCCCTTAATTGAAATAGTTTATTTTTAGGTGTTAAAGGGATATACAGGCATTATTAATGGAATTTAATCATGCTATTCTAATGAGGTCTTCTTACATTCTATCTCTAAGTTGTACACTGTCGTTGGGGCCTCCAATTTGTTTCATCATTTTTTCCAACGTTCGGAGTCCACTATTAATAGCGTTGACATTGTCTGCGATGCCTTCACTCAAATTGTACAACTCTGTTGGACTGAAATCGGCGAAACCGACGGTGGGAGGCGCTGCGGTCGAGCCGTAGTCACGGCTTGAACCACTTATTGGTTCCCGCTCAGACATGTTGAAACTGAAATTGTTATATGATTTGAAGAAAAAGAAGATTCTTTAATCAAATTGCCAATCGAGTTTTTAGTTACAATGCAACAAGTTGACCTTATTTATTGATATATACCATTTTACAATATTTGGGAATTGCTTTAATAAGTTCAAAAGCAAACTCAACTTCTATTGATGGCTCATCAATATCATCAAAATCACTATTTCTATTATTCAAAGATATAAAATGCTGTTTTAAATTGTCAGAGACAATAAAACTTATTAAATAAATGGGAAACATTCACAAAACAAAATTCAAGAACTTAATATCAAACCAAAAACGAATATAAAATAATAAAGTTATCAGAATTAAAAAAAGAATGTAAAATATAAAATAAGGAGAGATAAAAGGTCAATGTTTCAAGTCAATTTGTGGTAAAATATCAAACTAATTTGAAATTAGAGTTCACAATAAGTATGTCAAAATTGAACTAAATCATTATAGTTAAATAGATAATGAGAAGGCAAGAGAGATGACATAAAATAAGACAACAGAAACCGCTTGTGATTAACTTGTGTATGGATATTTAAAAAATGGTTAAAAAATTAATATAACTATGTATACTAAGTGTCTGTACAAATAAATTAAAATTGTGTTGATTTCAAATAAATGTTAATTACAGGTATTTAGCGAAAAAATACAGATTGGGTACTTAGGACCATTTTTCATTTCTTTTCTGTTTTGTATGTCTTGGCTAGACAAACAAAAGATTAAGTTAGATTCAAAAATCAAGCTGACTTACAGCTGTACAAATTAGTTCTTAATTTTCTTACCACTTTTTTGGGTTCACATGCCTAACAAAGGTTATCCGAGAGTTATCAAAATGTAGTTCAAGGATAGAAGACCTGTAATAAATAGTATAACAGGTTGTTGATAAATAATAAGTTTTGTTGTTGAAAATAAATGATACTGAATGCGGATACTGTTGATTGTTGAAGTTATTCATGTTTTCGCAATAGTAACAAAATATTACATATGCCTTGACCAGATTGATGGTTAATACATTTCCATGTATTTATAAGTAACTAGTTACATTTTTTATATGTAAATACAATATTAAAAATACTGTGTTACACTTATTGTTTTTAAGATAAAATAATTATTTTTAAAACTACATAAATATTTTTATTTTCCTCCAGCATGCTTTATAGTTTAAGACACCATTATAATATTGATTCAGTAAAATATACCATATACTAACATTTGTTTTTTTATTAATATATTGGAAATGATAAAAAACTTGCCTTAATGTATTTAAGTTTGGTGCGCAATAATTGTCAAATATTTACGTCGTAATTAAATGTTTGCAGATAAAACAAATGATTTAGTACTGATCACAATAATCACGGGCAACAAATTACTAAATGGAGGCGTAAGTTGGGTTAGTTTGGTCACAAAACCGCTCAACTTTTAATTTTATTGACACACAAAACCGGATTGTTGTATAACTTTACCTTAATGAGTTTTTGCTTGAGCTAATGAAGGTAATAAATTCTTGAATAAAATGTTGAATTCTTGAAACTTGAAACTGATTGATTAAGCACGTCAAACTAGTGTCAAAGTTTTTTTTAAACAGTATGTAGTTGTAAACAATCTGCCAGTGTCAACGTTTAAATATAAAAGTAAAAAAAAGTATTTTTAACAAATATATAATATTTACATACCTAGCAGTCCGTTTTTTTTAAATAATATTATCTAATAAACCTAATCCACGCGGCATAGTGCCAAGAACGCTAGCTGCCCCACGGACCTATAGTTTCAACAGCAAATGGCACAAATACATAATCTAAACATAAAGACTCATATTTGCGCCATTTACTTACTTCAGCTGCCTCCGATGCCGCCCCGGCCCTGACCGAAGTACCCCTTAGATGAGAGGCAGCCAAAGTGTCTACACAAGTGGCGTCCCAAACAAGGGCTTTGCCTCTCTCCCAAGGGATCAATGTTAAACTGTCGGGTCTCTTACCATCGTCGCGTAAAATGCCACAGGGCTCTAAAATGGATGGAACATTGATGGAAACAAGAGCCCTACGGATGATGTCGTTCAGGGAACCGTGGCGAGAAAAACGGCCAGCACTTTTTTGACAAGAAAGCCCGTGGAGACCAAATTTGTCTACACTGACACCACAAGGGCATTGGTGGGGTTGACAAATCGGTGCCCCCAGACGGTTTCCTACAGCAATGCGTAAGCTTTCATCGTCAAGTAATGTACCCAAGTTACTTGATGGCGATAACAACTCTGTATGAATGACATTTCATTTAGTCAACAATTAAGGGAATATTTTTATGATTTTTCGAAATGAACGGGTTGAACGACAGAGACGCGTTTACATATTATTATAACGCGTATAAGCATGCTTCTAAACATAAAGGTTGGAAGACATAATACGGGAAGTATTAGTCTAATAGTAGTATTAGTAGTCTAATAATATAGATACGAGTAGAACGTTAGAGTTCAAATGATTTCACTATCCAATACGCATTGCCTTCGTTATGACTATCAATGAAGCGTATTTTTAACCTACTTCAAAAAAGGAGGAGGTTTTTCAATTCGACCGTATGTATATTTTTTTTTATGTGTGTTCGTGGATAACTTCGTCGCTTATGAACCGATTTGGATGATTCTTTTTTTGTCGGAAAGAAGATATCCCAAGGGTGGTACCGTGATAAGGAGACCCGGATTTGATAATGGCATCCTAGAGAAATCTAGGACCACCATTGAATGTTACAGGTATTTACAATGTTTTTAATTTCCGCATTGAAGCCGGCTTTTTTTGTTATACAAACATAAATTTCGCGTGGACATAAACACCCAGTTGCGAAATAATTATCTGTTGGTCACACAAATAGTTAGGAATAGATAGAGCCTACAAAAACCGACGCCGATGCTAATATTGGCAACTGCGTCACGGAGTCCTCTTTGGATGCTGAAAACAGACAAACGAAAAACGTAGTCCTTTTTGTTTTTGCCCTACCACAGCAATTCCAATGTTGTGTGAGTGATTAAAATTGCTAGGCAAATGGCTGAAAAGTTTTAATGCTTCGTTTTAAGACAGAGACTAGCACTAGAAAAATTAAAAAAAAATATGAAGCTGGTTTAATTACTTAACTGAGGTAGGCAACAGTCTTCGCTGTTGCACGTACGTCCGGGGAAGTAACACGACCTCACAGAAGAGGAAGTGTCATTTCAGTATGTATAAGTTACTCTATGGTGAGTGTGATAACTTTATTAAAAGGTGGCAACACGTTGGCAACCCTACGAGTGTTGCAAATGTAGATGGGTGGCGGTTATCATTAAACATGAGGTGCACCGCCAGTCGCTTGCCATCTTCGTACACAAATAATATTCAATTCAAGTATTTTATTTTATAATCGCAAATAAAACTTACTTTTCATTGCAAAAAATCGAAACAGGCTCATTTTATCACAGTTCATGGTAAAACGAAATTTTTGTCACATAAACCATAGCAGTTTTTAGCCTAAAATTTTTAAATGTTCACTGATGGAGATACTTTTAAATTGTCTTAGCTTACTGAAATTCCTTCATCTTCACACACACACACACACACACACACAAACACACACAACTTCCCTACAGGCCGTAAATTAAACTTTAGATATTATTTTATCCGCCAAAGGACAGGCAGAGGCCTAGAGTGGAGGTCAGTTCCTAAGGCATATAATGCAGAAATATTTTGGAAATAAAGTTATTTGTAATATTAAAAAAGTACTTCTGAAAATACTCAAATAAACATTACCCCCAACCATATAAAACAATGTTTAAGAATGCCATGGAAATAGCACGTTGCACATCTGCGTATTCATTACTGTCGTCGCAAAATAAATAGACGATAGCAACTTAGGACTGCCCATTTAGCGGCTTTGCTTAATCAATTTTATACTGTCCCTTGAAAATGTAAACGTTCTAGCTTCTTTGATGTGACGATAGACATAGTATGTCTTAAGCGCGAAACGTTGGTACGGCTTAACTTTATAAATATTTTACTTGCGCGCTTAGGACTATGTTTGTTTTCTATTTTAGCTCTGTCTAAGTCTCCAAATAGGCGAAGGAGGTTCAAGAAAAATCACGACTGTCATAATTTACTTATTTATTTATTTATACTTTATGCACAAGCTGTACAGAGGCAGACTTAATGACACAGGCATTATCTCCAGTCAACCTTGGGGTGGTACAGAGAAGATTCGGTAGGTGCACAGAAAGATGTCAAAATAATATGTAACTTTTTCGTTGAACGGGACATTTATATACCAGAAAGCGGCTGGTGAGCTTGTCTCGCTGTTGCAATTCCAATTCCAAAATTAAACGAAATCTAATATATTGAAGATACTTTGTACAAAAAAAAGCACGTGTTTTTCGCTAAGGGTCGGGTCCCCTCTCCCAGGGTAGTTCGTAACCTCACTGAATATCACTAGGGGGGAAGGTATTAGAAATAAATAATAGAAGGTTTAAGAAAATGCTAAACATCACAACGTGATTAATGGACGATCTCCTATCCCTGACCAAGTGTCTTGTCATGTTGTTAAAGAAAAGTAATAAAAGCGATAAAGCCGTATTGTATTAATTTAATATCTATTACGTCTTGTAACTCAATGTGTAAAAAATAATATCTATCTAATACCTTTAAACGAGCAATTTTTGTATATACAGCGTGTCGTTACCATCGCGACAATAAATGAACACACGTCTAACGCTACTTGCCAATAATCATAAGGAAATATTAACGTTAAACAAAATCCATAATTAAAAAAAATATTTTTTTACAACTCGCGCCACAGCGTCGCATTACAAGCCTCTCCTTCTAACAGTATGTTTTGTCTCTTTTAAATTCATTCAACCCATTCATATGCTTTGTGACCTTTACAAACGAACTTTACGTTACGCTTTTATAGGTAAGGGTGTTCTAAAATTCTTTATTTTGGAAAATTTAATAACTCTGTAAATATTGATGTTTAAAGAATTTAAATGTTTAATACAACTTTAAAAAATTATCCCCTATATGTGTGTTCATTTATTGTCGCGATGGTAACGACACGCTGTATATAATCGGAATTTCGGAAACGGCTCCAGCGATTTTTATGAAATTTGGTATGTGCGTAGATTCGGGGGCGAAAAATCGATCTAGCTAGGTTTCATTTTTAGAAAATGTCCTTTTATCCCTGTTTTCAGGGAATGAAAAATATCATTCGAATATGACGGTAAATTTCGCCGAAAAAAAATGTTATAATAGCTCGGTCGGTAATCGGGCGGCCCCGAAACAGTAGGCCGCGGTTCTTGTCACGATCATCATTTACACACTTATTTTTTTTACTTTTTTTCTATACCAGGTCATTGCTTTCCTTATTTTTAATTTTTTTAATTTCCGAAATACACGATTTACCAAAAAAAAAAAGGTCCTCCAGGTACTATCTAAATCATAAGTACCATCATGTGACTTAAAATAAAAAGACTGAGGCGACAAACATAAATGAAAAAAGTAAACTAATTGAGAAGCTCGTCTTTTTTGAGGCCAGTTAAAAATAGATCCTTTACGGTATAATTTTGAAAATGTCATTGTAATTGAAAATGCATTTTGACATGAGTGCAATTAAAATTTGCCCGCCATAAATAATATGTTAATCTTTTTGGCGCGAAGCCCGACATACTTTTTTGTTTAAATCTACTTAAAATAACAGGGGGAATAATTAACACATATATCATTGCCCGTCAACTTTTCTGTCTCGTTTTGCGAATGACAAAGCTACTGTCATTCTTGCGCTTAATAATGCAATTCACTCATTTAATGCTTGGCAAGCATCGTAAATAAATCGCATACAAATATAGGTAGGATTTAGGATTTCATCACAGAAATGGTAAAGATGTTTGTGATTCACTTCTGTACATTTTTATTAACAAAAACCGACGTCAAATATCTCACTAATCTACATTTTCTTCATTTTCTGTTTAATTTTGAGGGTTCCTTGACGTATCTCCTGTCTCTCCGGAGTCCAAAGTCGACTAATAAAATTGTTATACATACGCCTTGAAATGAACCCAATGCATATTTTTTAATCCGGTTCATATATGACGTTGTTCTGAGGTATCAAACATAAGACAATAAATGATGAGTTAAGAACCTCATCCCTTTTGAAGTCATTTGATAGTTTTGAGCAACGGCGTAGCTTTTTTTTGTATGAGAAAGGCAAAGGAGCTGGCGGTTCATCCGATGTTAAGTGATAACAACCGCCCATGGACATTGGCAACACCTCAATGCATGAAGTATTTGCTTCAATTCAAGGAAAGAAGACGCTAAATGTTGCTAATACAGCAAATAGAACGGAACCGAAGCCCGAGGCGTCGATAGTTTTAGTTCATTTATCCATGAAAAATCATATACAAACTTATAACATCTTCATTTTTGGGAAAACAGTCTAATCTGTAATAAAAAAAATCAAATTTAGAATACAGAATATTTAGAGCCATCATGGACAGAACGTTCAATAGTTGTCAGCTAATCTATTATAAAAAAATAAAATTTAGAATAGAGGCTATTTAGTGCCATCATATACAAAACGTTCTAGAGTTGTCAGTTGGACGTTGAATTTTGTGACACGCTGTATAAATAAGAATTGAGTCGCCAGTTGCACTTCCGCTGAAGATACGATCATGTTCACTTTAAATCTCGAACCTTTCAACGGAAGGGCCGCAATAAAAATAGGAAAATAATCTGTTTCGCAGTCCATTAGCAATTACGCGGCGGCAACATCAGAGAGCGTCCACTTAAAATATCTGAAGCCTCGCTTATAGACGGTTTGAGCAAAGTGCTCAATTCCTGCACCACTGCGTTTATAGTAATAATTAATGGCATTCCTTATCTTTTTAATTAGCCGACTAGTTCTGTATAAATAATCTAATTTCGTTTTAATTCACGCGGGATATCCCCAGCGTTTGAATGACATTCCTAGCGGGGCTTCGTCCGTTCTTAAAGTAAGCAAATTGGTAGAAAGTTTTAATTTTTTTATGTGAGAATATGGCTAGCGTGCTAGCGGTTCACCTGATGTTAAGTGATATCCGCCGTTCATTAACATTTGCAACAGCCGTAGGTTTGGAGATGCGTAATATGCCACCTTTTAGTAAAGGGGGCTCGGACGCAATGCCGTCTAACGAGCATTGCGTCCGAGCTGTGCGTGCGTCGGCAAGATTGATCTGTTGTAGAACAGAAAAGAAAGAACTGAAAAGGCAACGCAATTTTTTTATGTGAGAAACTGGCAAACGAGCTGCCGGTTCACCTGATGTTAAATGATAACCGCCTGCCCATGGACATTTGCAACACCCGTAGGGTTGCAGATGCGTTGCCACCTCTTAATAATGTGGGCCCCGGCTATCTCACTCACCAGACGAAACGCAGAAGTTCAACACTTCTAATTTACGTCGGTCTTCTGTGAGGTCGTGGTACTAACCCGGACGGACCTGCCCATTCGTGCAACAGCGAACACTGTTGCGTGGCGTGCATTGCTGGCCGGGAACTATTTTTTTATGTAAAAAGGGGGCAAACGGATAGGAGAGCCCTGTTGGAAATTAATCACCGCCGCTTACGAACGTCAGCAACACCGGAGGCCTTGCTAATGCGATGCCGGCCATTCAGGAAAGAATATGCTACCTTCTTGAAGGTTCCCAGGTTCAGTAAAACAATTACGGTGATACATCTTTTGAGGAATAGATCTCGTGTAATAAATTAACTACAAGACACGTATATCGTTGCGATAGTGTCTGAACAGCACACACTCGTGAAATTATACCTATGCGCAGTACGAAAATAGAAAGTTGCGAAAAGCCCGTCATTAAATCAGCTCTATTTACGGGCTCGTGGTGCGAGAGAATGTGTGAATTTATTTCGAGTCAGCTAGTTAACGTTAAGGCCAATTAGTTAAATAGACACGCCAGTTAAGGATGACGGGTTAAGTTACTGTCTTCCAGATTACATCGTAGCCGCCTGGATTAATACGATAGTGTTGTTAAATCAGAAAAATATTCTGATGGAACTTTGAATCTGAAAGCTTTACAGATTCAAACCTTTAGGTGTATCGGATAGTGTTCTCGCACTGAAACACTGATCGTCGTAGAAATTAACTAATCAACTGTCAAATGGCTTTTGAGTTGCCAAAAAAAAACAATAATACAAGTTATATTCAATTTCCGTAGTTTTTATTACACTACTCTAAAGTTTATATTACACTTTACTCCATGGTTAAACATAATATATATTGCATTTTACTCTGTTTCTACGATGTACGTCTTTAAAATTGGTTTGGCTTTCGTTTATACCCAATAATGATCATTGTTTGGTGGAACTAGTGTTAATATCGTGATTCTGTTATACAACGTGCTGTGGATGTATGAAATTTATTGGAATGGCATTTAAGGTATAAGCAGTAATTTTGCTTTGCTAACGTTTTCTTCACCAAGTGCATTGTGGTGGCATTTCGAGGACATATTAAGGTTTCTTTGAATGATAACATAATCAGGCTCTTTCAATCGAACATTTTATA